TTTTAATGCCATTGAAGACCACTTTTGACCAGACTAAGACACAGGTAAGCCATGTTAGCGTTTTTTGGCTACCTAGCGCCACATGTTTTGATGTCTGTTTTTGTTTATTAAGTCGCGAGTTCGTATCATTGAGTGATAATGTATGTACCCATCGATTCTGTGTCATCTCACGATGTGAAACGATGTGTTGGATGTGCAGAAAAGATAAATAATAAGGTTTTGTGGGTGAATTTCGGTGCAGTAATCTGTTAGCATTTTTCGCTCGTTGCTAATTCAGAGGCTCAGCGTTAGCATTGTGGGGTTTTTTCAGATTTTTTTTTTAGAATGATCAGTTAGATGAGTTTCTTCCGGTTACATGGATATAAAACATTCATAGTTTATTAAATATTAAGATGCCCTCAGACACTGTTTCCTCAGATGACGCGTTTTTCCCCCCCGATATCGGGGGTTGCGGTGTAGAAGAGGTTAAGGCACTGTGAAATGATGATTGACACATGAAAAGGCCTCTCGTGTTTTACACTGTAGAGCAGGTTTTTAATAAGGTGGTTTCCCTTTTGCCGGTATGATATTCACCCATAATGCACGCACATGCCAGGCGTGGTGATGATGAAATAGAATCATACCACCATCTGCAGACAGTGGCAAGTTAATTGAGGAAGAATGAAACAGGGAATAAACGAGATAACGAAAGCTCTGAAATTGTTATTTTATTTCCTTGTTCCATGAAGAAGTTGGTTAAAGTGAGCATGCTAAACTGTGTCACTTAATATTTCAGGGATAATCCATGCTTTTCATCTTGAGGTTTCTAGGTGGAGATTTGCAGATAGCATTTGGCTTAAAATAGTACATTGTTTAAACCTCACAATAATATCTTTGCTTTCCTTAATGTTTCTGTAATACTGTGGGCTAATGAGCTGCAATAATTCATTTAGGTTCAGAATATATTATATATAGTCATACTCAAAAATTCTCTTTAGGATTTGAGTTAAATTGCTATTTTGAGTCCTGCCTTACAAACAACATTTCAAAAAATAAATGATGTGCCTTAATATAGTGAGAGATACAAATTCATTGTATATCCAGTTTTTTCAACTGCCTGTACTGACCATTCTGTCCATTTTATTGACCATTTAAACTTTTTCTTGGACCGCAGACATCTTTTTAAGGAAATGGACTTTGCCTGAACAAGTCAGGAGTAACATTGTTTTATCTCTAACATATTCAACTGTCTGCGTCATCAATCTGTTACCTCTGCCAAGGACAAGCGACAAGAGGCATCAAAACAGGAGAAAGACACAACACATCGTGCAGAAAACCTTGAAGAAGTATCACTGCACCCGCCGGAGGAATGTTTTGATTATGGGAGACCTATGAGACAAATGGAGGAGTCTCCACCTCCCTTCTTCCCCCCTATCAACACCTTTGAGGATACTCTTCCTTCTCCCCCCAGCTCTCTCTACTCTCTGCTCACCCTTTCACCCTCGCCCACCTTACTGGAGTTCAATGACCACAAGACGGAGATACACAGGGTTGGCACCAAGTCCTTCCTGGAGTTAAATGACTGCCTGAAGGCAATACACAGGGTTGGCAGCATGTCCTTTAGCCCCGCCCCTCAACGACGCCCACCACAATCACCGAAGCAGAGGCGCGCACCATCTCCCCCGTCTTCATCACCATGCCTACGTCAACCAGCTCCCCCCCTTCAAGAAAGCATCTGCTGTCTCCGAAGCCTGAAAAGTATGTGTATGTACAAAACGCAGCAAACTAACTGATATGTGCTGGGTCCAGGCTCAAGGGCGTATGGCATTCTCAACTCTTTCTCAGGAGAAGATGTAAGTTGGATGTAGAAAAGTCAGAATCAATATAGATGTTTTTTATTTTAAAGAAAATTCAGATTGAACATAGTAAAAAACTGTAAATTATAGTATCCGTCCAAAAATTCTTTTTTACTTATAGTGAAAACTACCCTTGGATGATGGTAAGGTAGACTAAAAGCTTTATGAATCCAAAGTACAACATATAATAAGTACCCTGTATCAAGATTGATGCAAAACAAGTGACATTTGACCTTTTTAGAGAGGTTTAGCCAAAAACACTCCACCTCTGAGGTGATTTGGGTGTAAATGTTTTTTTCTTCATATCTCTGGAACCCATTGGTCGATTTTGATGGTTGACACCTCTTTCTGACCGTTAGAGCCAATAGAATCGAAGGGGGAGTCCCCCACACACACTCATTGTGAAACAAAAAGGTGGGGGCTTTGCGCATGTCATTTTGCATTAGAGTGAAGCTACATTCTAGCTCTGACATCTAGAAACGGAATAGCATGGATTATCCGTTTTATTGCTCATGAAATATTATCAGAAATCATTTCAAAGGGACACAGACACATTGGATTAACCTATGGATTAACTTCAGCAGCGTTTTTATCATTTTAATGCCATTGAAGACCACTTTGGAGAGACTACAGAGCCAAGGTAACCTTGTTAGCATTTTTAGCTACCTAGCGTCACCTGTTTTGATGTCTGTTTTTGTTTATAACGTCGCAAATTCGTATAATTCAGTGATAATGAGGGTACCCATCGATTCTGTGTCATCTCACGATGTGAATCGATGTCATGGATGTGGAGAAAAGATAAATAATAAGGTTTTGTGAGTGATTTTCGGTGCAGTAATCTGTTAGCATTTTTCGCTCGTTGCTAATTCAGAGGCTCAGTGTTAGCATTGTGGGTTTTCTTTTGAAAAAAAAAAAGATGATCAGTTAGATGAGTTTCTTCCCGTTACATGGATATAAAACATTCATAGTTTATTAAATGAACATGCCCTCAGACACTGTTTCCTGCAAGATGTTGCGGCAGTGCCCCGGTACCGGGGTCTCTCGGGCTTAACAGGTTAAAGCTCAATAAATAACAAAGAAGACCTTTGACCGGCACTTTTCTAATTTTGTCCGGAAGATTTAAACTTTAACGGACATGTTGACCGGCGGAAAAAAATCTAACTGAAACTCTGCCGCACGGTCCCCTCGTCCCTTGGAAGAGGCGGAGAGGTGGGTGTTTGTCATCTGCTGGTGGATTACCGGAGAGAATTACAGCGAGGGAGGGATTGCATTGAATTACAGCAGCAGGAGCAAACGCTTGCCCCGGGGAGGGAGAAAAAGAGCCAGAGCGTCCACAGCAGAGAATAAACAGAAGGGCAACCATGGAAACCATGCGCGGGAAGTCTTCTTTGCTGCTTTTGTGGCAGACTACAGCGCCACTTACAGGCCTGGCATATGTACTACAGCGTTTCCAGCGCTTTCGAGCGGCAATGGCCGTGGCCGTGGCCCAACCCCCCATTCCCCTGATAGGTGGAGAGTTGCCCATATAGGCGGAGCATCCCTTCTCGGACGTCAGAACAATTCAAATCTGTATCAGCTCGGTTGCAGCCCCGTTTTTAGAGATTTGGGTATGGAGGAAAAGAGAGAGGGTTGTGTTTTCTGACACTTGGTGAGTTCCCTGACACACCGGGGACACATATTCATATATAAAAGATGTACAAAAGTGCATTTTGCATGATAGGTCCCCTTTAAAGGACAGAAACAACTTTGTTTCTATAGGTAAATACACATCTGAGTTGACAAATATGACATGTGGGGTTCCTCAAGGCTCCATCTTGGGGCCTCTTCTCTTTAACATCTACATGCTACCACTGGCTCAGATAATGAAAAACAACCAAATAAGTTACCATAGCTATGCGGATGACACAAAGATGTACATAACCATTTCACCAGGTGACTATGCTCCAATTCAAACACTGAGTAAGTGCATTGAACAAATCAATGACTGGATGTGTCAGAACTTTCTCCAATTAAACAAAGATAAAACTGAGGTAATGGTTTTTGGAGCCAAGGCAGAACGTATAAAAGTCGGCGCTGAGCTTCAGTCTGCAATGTTCAAAACAACAGATAAAGCCAGAAATCTAGGTGTAGTCATGGACTCTGACCTGAGTTTCAACAGTCACATTAAACAATTACTAAATCAGCCTACTATCACCTAAAGAATATATCTAGGATTAAAAGACTAATGTCACAGCAGGATTTGGAAAAACGTGTCCATGCTTTTATCTTCAGTAGACTCGACTACTGTAATGGTGTTTTTGCAGGTCTCACAAAAAAATATTTTAGAAAGCTGCAGCTAATTCAGAACGCTGCTGCTCGAGTCCTTACTAACACTAAGAAAGTGGATCACATCACTCCTGTTCTGAAGTCTTTACACTGTGTGTCAAATAATTGATTTCAAAATACGGCTGCTGGTTCATAAAGCATTGAATGGTTTAGGCCCAAAATACATTTCTGACCTACTGCTAAATTATTAACCATCCAGAACTCTCAGGTCTTCTGGGACTGGTCAGCTTTCTGTCCCCAGAGTCAGAACTAAACATGGAGAAGCAGTGTTCAGTTATTATGCTGCAAATATCAGGAACAAACTACCAGAAACCTGCAGGTCCACTGCAACTCTTACTACTTTTAAATCCAGGCTGAAGACTTTTCTTTTTGCCGCTGCTTTTAATTGAACTATTAATATCTTAAACTGCACTGTAACTTGTATTCATGTATTTTTTCTTTTAATGTTTATTTTATTATCTTTGCTTTTTAATGACTGTTTTTAAATGCCATTTTCTTAATGTCTTTCATTTTTGTAAAGCACTTTGAATTGCCTTGTGTTGAAAGCTGATATATATATAAACTTGCCTTGCCTTACTAGTATCATAGTACCAAATGATGCTGTCACAGGTAGGAGTTGATGTTGGCACACAGTCAGATGAGGTCATAACATCCATTGTGCTTATAGAGTAATAATGGGCAGGTAAAAGGTGAACAGATACAGTAAATGTACTTTACACACATTGGCAAATACAATCTGGCACTAAAAGTTAACATCAAAACAAAGTGGGCAACATTTTGTATTTATTTCAGGTTTATTGTAGTTTTTAAGTATTCAATGAAATACACATAAGAGCTGGAATAAAAAACAACATTTAAATAGAGGTACTCAGAGAGAAGAACATATATGTTTATTAAATAAGGTTTTATAGAAGAGGAAAAGCAGATTAGCTTTGTTTGTTTGCACAGTTTTGGAACAATTATCCACTGAATTATTAAAGTATTCAACCTAAAACTAGAACATTTGGAGCCCTTTTTCTTGTTTTACATAGTGTTTACATACTGACCAATCATTCTGAAGGCAGGAAAAGAAACAAATGGTTTTATCTCGATTGAATTTGCCTGCATGTTTGTATTATTGATGATTATGTGACATTACAGATGTGGTTGTTAAAATACTATGCATGTGGTTTTTGTCAGAGAACAATGGCTGTACTTGGAATCATTATTCAAAACAGAAGGCGTGTGAATCTAGTCCTGCAGCATAATGGCTTATCTTTTGTCCAACTGTATGCTGTTATGACGGATAGAGGAATAATAAAAGTCAACAGAAATCGGGAGGGGTAAGACTGAAACCAATTAACATGTTGAATTCAGTTTCTGTATTGAGGTTTTCATTGGATCACACTGAATATATTATGCCACAGGAGCAGTTTTAAAGGTTTTTATGGACATTATGATTCTCTGTGAATAATCTGAACACAAAACGTTTACTGGGGGGGATGACAGTTTCTTACTAAAAAGATACTGCATGGAGTGTCACATGTTTCTGATTGCTATGATGGATTTTCTTCTCAAAATTCTCGAGCAAAGTTCTCAAGCATGAGCATCAATACATATTGCGTAAACAGATATATAGAGTTCTGGCTGCACTAAAGTGCTTTGGTCTGGTCCAGTCTGTGACTATAGAGATGTACAATCAAACTAAGATTCAGTACATAAAAGCTTCAGACTACAACATGATAAGGCACTGGGGAGAGAGAAAGAAAAAACATTATGCAAGCAGGACTGGTAGTGTTGACGTGTGTGTGTTTCTGCCAAACAGAGTCCTCCAGAGTTGTAGTCAACGTATCCCATCATGCATCATCTTCCGAGCGTTCGTCACCCCTCAGCCTCTCTCGCTCTCTGTGCCGCTGGATGGCCCGCCAGATGCGGCAGAGGACTCCACCCCTGGAGAAAAGAGGTTTGTTGAGGTTGCATCATCGTCAAAAGCATTCCAAACAACTGCTGTTTTCCCTTGTGTGTTTGCGTGAGTGGAAAATCTGTAGGTGTTCAAATATCTGAAGGCATTCACAAGTTACAAGATCAAAGACAATTGGCCCTTCAATAGTATGTTTTTATCTGTCAGTCAGTTTATAGATTTATAGTTTATAGATTTTTTATCTTCACGGTCATATATGTATTTTTCTTACTCCTTAATGCTGGTTTATTACCATTTCTATTTTGAGATGTTTATATTTTAGAATTGCTTATTTCTACTCTTTTAATTTGTTATTATGTCTAATTCCTTGTTTTGTTTTATGCTGCTGCAACACGTTTCTTTCCTAAATTGGGATTAATAAAGTACATCTTATCTTATCTTAAAAAATGAAACTGCACCATACCACTTCATTTACCTTGTTTTTGACTATAATAACTTGTATTATTTCACCCATCCAGAGGTGGGAAGTAGTGGAGTACAAATACTTCGTTACTGTACTTAAAGGTCCCATGTCATGGCCATTTCTACTGATCATAATTCCATTGTTGAGGTCTACTAGAATAGATTTACATCGTTCAATGTTCCAAAATCACATTGGTTTTCTCATACAGCATCTCTGTATAGTATGTGTATTTACTCTCTGTCCTAAAGGCCCAGACACACCAAACTGACACCAAAGAACACGTCCCGACGGAACACGACTGTTGTGTCGCCTCACGTCTCCTGCGTCTTGGCCAACAGTCGCACTGGAACACACCGCAAAGACTTCAGCCGAACTGTAGCACGTACGAACTGCGCATGCGTGAGTGGCAATAACTCTCCTTACCAGCAGGCGGCGGTAGTGTGTGTTCGTCATTCAAAAGAGGCAACCAGAAGACAGACTGCGTGATATATACAAACAACAAATAGCTACATGCTACAGCTCGAGCCAAGCAGCACAGGGATGAACTATGGCAATATTTTAACAGTATCGGTGCAGTGCCTTTTCAGTGGGGCAAGATATAGCAAATATGTGTGCCTATCCTATTTGTGTTTATTCTTTTAATCACAGAGCGTTAAGACAAAATTAAAATGTGCCTACATAACTGTCAGTTGCAGCCGTAGCATTATTATTGGTTTAACTAGCCTACTAACAGTATATTTTTAAAACATTTTAAAATGACCATCTTGAACAGCTACAACATTAAAATACTTCTAGGCAGATTGTGGAGAGTAACAAAGTACATTTACTTAAGTACTGTACTGCGCCACTCCCATTCAGGCAAATAGTGTTTCGCTAAGCTGAACAGCCAATCAGAGTGATTTCTTTTGCCGACGGCCTTTTACCGACAGCCTACCGATTCAACATGTCGAAACGGCGGCGGAAGGTGTCGGCACGGCCGAAAAGACACGGCGGTGCGGGACACACCAATCTGAGTAGGGCGACAGGGCGCTCATTGACGGCCAGACATCTATCGACGGCAGAAATCGGCTCGGTGTGTCAGGGCCTTAAACGCCTTGTTGGAGCTCCTGCCCCCCCCCTCCCTATGAGCCCACTGTGCTCTGATGTGTGTTTATGTGTTACAATGGCGTTTGTTAGCAACCAGAAAATGACACCAGTAATGACAAACAGATGAGAATGCTGTGGGGGGTCTGGGTGCCGTGTTGGCGGGACGTTGCAGGGCTCGCTGCTCCGCCCTTTGAGACTCGAGGAGCCGACAGTGTGAGCTGTATTACTGGTGTCATTTCCTGGTTGCTGCATGGGGTCTGCGAGACAGCGAGACATGGCAAAACTCAGCCTGAACTCAGCCTGAGCACACACGTGAGTGTGTGGCGAACTGTGAGTGGAGATCCACGCAGCTGTGGCTGAGAAAAGATAAGTGTGCCGGCGATACTCCGCGGAGTATCGCGGCTGAGAAAAGATAAGGGAGTGTGTGTGTGTGAGGAGCTCCACAGATTGGTCCATTTGGACCTGGGTAAGATTACGTCACTATACTCAGGAAGAAAAAAATTGAAAAAGAAAAATCTCCAACGAGGCATTCTGGGGCAGCATAGACAGGTCTTTTCTGTGTTAGAGTTTTTCTCGTTACAGGGTGTACTTTGAGGGTTTTTTACTCTGCAGACCGTTTACATGCAGTAAAAGCTACATAACATACAAGGGGATGGGTAATAACCGGAAAAGCATGACATGGGACCTTTAAGTACATTTTTCTGGTATCAGTACTTTACTCCACTACTTATTTTTGTGACGACTTTTTACTTTTACTTCTTACATTGTAACAAAAATAGCTGAACTTTCTTCTAACAGGTTAGTTACTTTAGTTTTAATCTGCGTTTGGTGGCGTGATCATTATTATTTAGAGTCATTGCGTGCATGAAGAAAAGAGGTTTGTTGATAATGATAGATTATTATACAATGCTCTATATGTTGTCTTTCAGATCAGAAAACCTACTTGAGTTACTCTTGGTAAGCTGATTCAAACTCCTATTGTTAATTAGATTTTATTATTTCGTGTTTTTTCCCCTTAGTTTGATGAAAATGACAATGAGGCCATATAAAAGATATCACCAATTTGGCTATTGATTTAAAACTTCTTGATGTCACAAAGAATACAGATTGGTACAGTCTCTTTAGTAATGTAGCATTGTGCAACAAGTTTAATATACATGTTCCCACCATTGTTGTATTTTGTGGTTTTCTTTTTAGATGGTGCAAATTCTGGACAGTTTTCAACCTAGACACCTTCCATATTGCAGCAATCCTAAAAATGTGCACCTGTGCTGCGAAAAGGAATGACTTATCCCTAAAGCATGTTTATATACATTCAGATGGCCTAAAGCCTTGCAGACTTGAGAAGAACGCTCCTAAATTCCATGTGACCATGTAAAACTAGATTCTGTACACATACCGTCATTTCCTTTTAAAGACTTATATGTTTGATAAGGCTTTTCCTTTCTTCCCACTACTTTTTTAGTAAGAATCGGCTGCCAAAAATAGCTTGATATGATGTTCTTTTCTTTCATGTTGTGTTGTGACGGCAGTAGATACCGTAGACGTAGACAGTGGAGGTCATCTTTGGAAACGTCATTGAGAATGTCAGTCAGTTTGTATTCTTCCAGCACAAACTGCAACACATAAGCCATCAAGTTAAAAACCATGCTACAAATGACGGCTGTGGCTCCTGGAAAGATGTTCAAGAGTCTCGTCCTCAACCTTATCTATGGTGTCAGCGTTTGCCCCGTTCTCTTTCAGCCAATCAGTGAGCTCCTTGTCCGGCTCGTGGTCCGCTGGGATGTGGAATATGGAGGGAGGTGAAATGTCTGTAAGGAAACGGAGAGTTAGAGAGGAAGAAAAACAAACAGAAGGATAATAAATCAACGTGTTTACCTGGGGGTCTGTGTCTGACTCGGACCATCTCCAGGTCGTGTGCTCTCTGCTGCAGTGTGGCCTTCAGGACCTGCTGGTAGTCTTTCTCCTTCTGCAGCAGCTCATCCAGCAGCCTGCAGCAAAAAAAGACATGTATTATGATCTACAGTAGATCTCACAGGCAGTATGAAAGGCTGAGATACATCGAATAACTGTCAAAAAGATAAAATACTTGCTAATCATACTGTATTACTAGAGAAGCAAAATTACACTACAATTGGTGAGGCCCTGTACGTAAAAACAAGCTAATGAAAAAATCCAATCCAATGGCCACAATAATAATATCGACACACGTATAAGAGAGAAAAAGTATCTTTGTAGAATATTCCACATTGTAAAAGATGTTGACTGTGAATAAGTAGAGCAACATTCACCATGATCTCAGAGTAAAAGAGCCTGAATAAAAATGCAAAACTACTGCAACCAGGAAATAAGAACTGAACATGTCGCAATAAAAACAGGCTAGAACAGGCTAGAACAGTGGTTCTCAACTGGTGGGTCGCGACCCACTTTTGGGTCGCGGACCCGTTTCGAGTGGGTCGCAGATGTGTGAAGAAAAACATTTCTTTTTTGGAAAAAAATCAAACTTTTATTTTGAAGGCCCGATTTTCTAACGCTGTGCATGCAGTCGGCATTGGACTGGAAGTACCGGAGACCATAAACGGTTTTGAAAACTTCTGTCACGTAGTGATCATCTTCTCAATAAAACATCTTTGCTGATGTTTTTTCGAGTTTTCTGGCCAATCAGAATCAAGATTGTTGCCGGAAGTCCCCACGGAGAATAACTTTGCGGTAGAACTATTCTTTATACATCCATGGGTACAATTTCAGATAAAAATGAACACATAATGAAATATGACCCCTGGTTTGATGATTGACAGGTCACAGAACAATGGGAGCTATCTACCCTTACCCAACATTTAAAGTAATTCACACAGACTATCTCCTCTTTACTCTTCTCTCTGTGTGGAGCAGCAAGCTGTCAGAACAAAGTGAAAAACAAACAATGGCATCAAATATTATTAATATGTCGGGTAGTAATACATTTATTTATTTTCTTCTCAGAGTGTACCAGAATGTGTAGTTTATATGTTAGTATTTCTACAAATCTTCTGGGGTTGGGTTTTCAGCATGTGTGCCTTTTTATGTTATACAGTTCAGCTTTGATTCCATCATCTCATTAAACCTTTTTTTTAAAGTTCTGTGAAGGGATATAAGGGATATATGCACTGTACTTCACTTTAATGAATATTGTATGTTGAAAAGCGTATATATATTACAGCACGATATTTTGTTGAATAGATTTGAGTGTTTCAACATTTCGGGTCGCGATTTATTGACAAAGGAAAAAGTGGGTCCCGAGGCCTGACCAGTTGAGAACCACTGGGTTAGAAACCAGGTAGGTATGTTAAAACAAAAAAACATTAAACAGACATCTAAATGTTTTTACAAAAGCAGCAACATCCTTCATGGGATCTCCAAACAAGAAATATAAAGGGCACTTTTGGGTCTCGAACATGAATAGGAATCTTAAGTAATGCATTGCTGATAATAACATCATGTATTTCAAGTGAAAAAATATCCTTTTTCAGTGTTACTTTTTGCAAAGACAACATCATCATTTCTTAATGTTAAACAACCTCTATGAGCCTTAGCATTGTACTGCATCATTGTTTTATCAACGCTTTTATCCAGCACTCTTTGCCAATTTTGTCATAAAAAAACAAATGGAATTACAGTCAGGCTTAAACAATCAAGATGTCATATTATACCATAAAATAAAAAAATAGTAATTCATTTTTCCTCATTAATGGTAAAATGTATACTTTATAAATGGTTAAATAGGGTAAAGGTCAGGTTTTCTTTTGTTTGAACTTCTACTGACACGTTCCTGCTGTGTCATCATCACTCCAGCCTTTATTTGCATGTACATGAATGTGTATCACCCCATGTATAAGTGGGCGGTGCTGCTGGCTGGTGCACATTCTCTACATAAACTTCTTGTCACATGATTGATACTAGTTGGGTTGCATCATCGTGAAATGCTTTCCAAACAACAACCGTTTTCGATTGTGTGTTTGCGTGAGTAGGAAAATCCGTAGGTGTTCTATCTATCTGAAGGGAACACGCAAGTTACAACATCAAAGTAAATTGGCCCTTCAATAGTTTGTTTTTATCTGTCAGTCAGTTTATAGATTTATAGATTTTTATCTTCACGGTCATCTATATATATTATATATATATATAATTTCAATTTTGAGATGTTTATATTTTAGAATTGTTTACTCCTACTCTTTTAATTTGTTATTATGTGCAATTCCTTGTTTTGTTTTATGCTGCTACAACACGTTTTTTTCTTAAATTAGGATTAATAAAGTACATTGTATCTTATCTTGTCTTAAAAAAGAAAACTGCACCATACCACTTTATTTACCTTGTTTTTGATTGTGTATAAAACAACTTGTATTATTTCACCCATCTACAACCTAATGTCAGAGGTGGGAAGTAGTGGAGTACAAATACTTTGTTACTGTACTTAAGTAAAATGTTCTGGTATCAGTACTTTACTCCACTACTTATTTTTCTGACAAGTTTTTACTTTTACTTCTTACATTTTTAACACAAATACCTGTACTTTCTACTTTTTACCTGTTCAAAACAGGCTCATTACTTTAGTTTTAATCTGCGTTTGGTGGTGTGATCATTATTATTTAGAGTCATTGCGTGCCTATAGATTTTAACACGATCCGTGTATCCATCATTTCCTGGTCTTCTCTAGAGAAGAGGGACCAATGAGAACGTCATTTTGCCGTTGTTCAGCAGCGAAACATTCATTAGCTAACAATGACGTTATTGTTATATTAAAGATCACCTATTATGCAAAATCCACTTTTTCAAGTCTTTAATACATAAACATGTGTCCCCTCTGTGTAAAGAGATTCTGAACGTTTCAGGAACAAAGACCCCCTCTCGTTTTGTCCTGATCCATTTATATAAAAACCTGTCTGAAAATGAGCTGATCAGATTTTGGCCACTTTATGATGTCATAACGTTTTTTTGGCTTGTGTAACCATTAGCCAATAACCAACCAAGGTAACCCCCCCCCCCACCTTATCACCCGAATCTCCTCCTAGAGCACCATTGTGTTCTTTTTAACCAAATATCTCTCAGAGGGGCTTGGGGAGTGGCCCCTTATTTTCATCTAAAGTAACAGACAGAGAATCAGCACTTTTGAAACAGGGCTGAAACAGAGGGGTTTATGGGATCCTACAATGCATGATCTGTTTGGTATTTAAGCCAAACACTTCAGAGACATGTTTTGTATATCAGAGACCTATAATATATTGATGAAAAACAGTATAATAGGGGACCTTTAATATGAAGTGAGGTCAGTTACTCTATAAAACAGTTGGTAGTTATGGGTACTTTTTACTTAAGTACATTTCGAAGCCCATACTTCTTTACTTTACTTGAGAAAATAAATGTTGTCAGTACTTCTGCTTTTACCAGAGTATTTTTAAACACGAGTATCTGTACTTCTATTTGAGTAAAGGATGTGTGTACTTTTGCCATCTCTGCACCCATCTACAACCTAGTGTATGTTGTGTGTTTTAGCATGTACCGGTTGGTCTCCTGTTTGAGCCGGCCCAGCTGTGCACCCAGCTGATGGTGCGAGCGCTGAGGCTCCTGGGAGTGGGTGGAGTTTATAGTGCTGGCTGCAGACTGTGTGGGGTCAGCTGTCGTCACGGGGTCTTCAGTCAGAGAAGCTAAAACGGGACCAAACTCTGCCTCCTCTTCATCCACTTCATCTTCCTTCTCTGCTCCCTCGCACTCTGACGCTGGACCGAAGTGGGTCTGCAGCTCTGTCAAAGGCATGTGTGGTACTGTAAATTCAGTTATTGGAATATTATATGAAGACAGAAAGTTATGAGATGTAATATTCTGTATGTGTCCACTAGATGGCAGCAGAGGCTCAGGCCAGGCTTCTGACCTGGTATGAGGATGGTTATTGCAGCCTGCACCGCTCGGCGGATGATGTTATCCATGGCAAACATCCAGTGGGGTTTAATGTGATGGTTCCTTAAGACTTTGTTAACCTAGAATATCACACACAAAAAAACGTGGACAGACAGTTATCTAACAACATACTTTTTAGACTCAAATGATCCATAATCATAGAAAAGGATATTTGTCTATGTTGATGTTACACATGGAGCTGCTGTGATGCAAGTCAAATTTCAGACTTGATCTGACCATTAAAGTATTATCTTATCGTAAACAACATTTAGAAAATACTAAAATATGTATCGATGTTCAGAATTCATTGTTAGAGTTAAGTGTGAGGATGTAGGTCACTTTGTATGGTCATTTTGGATGAACTGCCAAGTTCATAGGAAGTGCTGTTTTCATATTATTAAATTGAGAAAGTGTTGGAGAAAATACTGTTGTCTCCTCTTTGGGTTTGTTTTAATGCACTGATATCATGTGTGATTCTGAACTGTGTACGACCTTGCAGCTGCCTCTTTATGATAGGAGGAGGCAGGGCATTTCAGGTTGTTGATCTTTATGAGGAGACAGACACATACTTGTTGTCTCCTACATATCTAATTTCTATGAGGCATGAAGGAAGTCCAGAAGACGTCACAGATGACCCATCGCAGATGACCCGACGCTTTTCCGACACCCGCGGCTGATATTAGCGCCACCTCGATTTACGACTTTGTTGTTATCTCCTGTATTTTGGACTATATAAGCCTGATGTTTTTTCCTGCTCCGTTGAGCAACATACCCCATGTGTGTGAGTTAAACCATATCCTTTGTATGCGATTTAACTCTGCTCCTTCTTGCAAGAATAAATTAGTACCTGATTATTGATTCTCAACCTGGTGTCGAGTGATATTTTCCTAACAGAAAGATAATTGTTTTAATTAGTTTTCTGTATTTGATAAACAACATATTCATTTATAACAGTGTTTACATTATTTGCTCAAAACTCTGCATATACATTTTTGCTTAATAATCAGAAGTTTCTCAACCAAGCTAATTTCACAAATGTTACTGAAATATTGCCTTACTACAGCGAAAAGAGCTGACGTTTAACAATGTTGTTGTTTCCTTCATTTGGTCAAATAATTGATTTATTCCAGCCTTCATTAGTTTCCACATGTCAAATACAATATTTTCCTGTGTATTATTCTCATCTGCAATAGAGTGGTGCAGGGATGACGTATTTAGCCGGAAATAAGCTGCGCATGGGTTCCCTCGACAAAAAAGCAATGGGATTTCTCCATAGAATTTTGAAAATAGCTCGAAATAAGGTCTGTGGAAAGCCAACCTGTTTGATAAATGCACGTTTTGTTCAGCCGGATAATATCCACATGTCTACCCTACTTTTATAATTTTCGAATCATAAATCTAATCGCCAGAAGCAAAAGGCTAACGTTATGCTATAAACGAACTACAACCGAGTACGACTTCAACGTCACGCCAACTTAAGATCGATATTCAAAAATACAGATTCAAAATTGTACAAGTTGAAGCTTTTGTTTTAACAGTTTGCAGGAGCGCAGGTACTTGCTTTCAAGCAGAACAGGGAAAACAAACTTAGCGGGAGTGTTTACGTGTTCGGCGTAATGATGTACAACGTCCTCGACAACTTCTGTAGTCCTATTCAGCCACTTGTTAACAACCATCGTTTTTCAGACACGTAAACTCTTCAAAAATCACTACATCACCACTGCTGATGTATTTAATGTCGTAGAACAAATGTGATCCGTCTCTTAAATTTGAGTCAACCACAGACCTTATTTCGAGCTATTTTCCAAAATCCTATGGAGAAATCCCATTGACTCTGAGACGAGGGAACCGGTAGTGGTAAAATGCTAACTCACTTCCGGGTTTTAGGACTCGTCACTGCACCACTCTATACCAGCTTAGCAAAGGCTGATAGATTAGTAATATAAATATATGTATAAGTAAACTATTATATAATATAAGTTATAGTTTTACAACAAAATCTTTGTACTAAACCTTTTATTGTGTCTTTTAACATCCTGTCATGCATCCATGTGCATTGCTGCATGGTGTTGTTTTTTTTTCTAATTTGCACCAGATAAACAGGCTAGATCCCTTCTACATTGTATATGCGTCAATGATGTTTAGAGAATTTTCAACTGGCCATTTTTAAAATGCAAAAAATTAAGAATATCTATTAACATTTTCATAACATTCAGAATGTTGAGTACGCATCAATTCATATTAAAAATAATATTTAGGGGGAAAAGTGTTTTTATTCTAGATGAAAAGGCCATGTCCTTATAAAATGTCATGTGGTGCGACAATTTCTTTTCTTAAAAATACATTTTTTCCTTCAATTCTTTACACGTTGTCAGTAATCTGGAGACTTTAGAAACAAGGTATTTACATTTCTTTAGAGATTTTGTTGAAAGTGATCTACATTTTTATTTAATAATGTCAATGTTATCTTCTTAAATTAAGTTGATGGGCTTAATTTCCCTGAATATAAAATAAAACTGAGATAAATGTAAAACATTTTTTTTTATTTATTATTATTTAAGCATACTGTATCAGTGATAACTGTATGAGCTTGTATTTCAGATGTGAATGTGTGCGCTGCTTACAGAGTCCTGGAAGCCAAAGAGCACCAGTTGGATCTGGTTGATGGAGGTGGAGTCGAAGTCCAGGTCCAGCTTGAGCTTGGAGATGGTGGCCGCCATGACACGCCTCTCTGGGGAATGGATGAAGTCTCGAAGGATGCATATGATCTGCTTTATGTGTTCCACGGACAGCTGGAGCTCCTCGCTGCCCTAAAAAATATATAAATACATACACATGACACACTTATTAACACAGAAAAATACAAGTCTTTTAGTGTGTATGGGTCAGATTGTTGCAACTTAATCGGTTTACACCTTTTCAGGATTACTGTTTGAAGTTGTGTTTTATGCTGCTTTACTACTTAACTTTAATCAGAATCACAAACAGTTTTATTGTAGGTTAACACATACGAGGAATTTGTCTTGGTGTACATGGTGCATACATAAACACAGTTTAACAAAGATATAAAGTAAGATAAAACAAAAAATATAATTAAAACAATTGAAACTATTATACGTTAATAAATGCATTTTTTTTTTTTTAAAGCATTGTTAATGAGATTTTGTCATCATTGACTTTGTTTGTTTGTTCCCGAGTTGGTAAAAGTTTCATCAACCTTCTTAATACTGAGCTTAATTGAGAAATTGACACAAAAAAAGAAGCTCATATAGTTATATTAAAGCACCTTTTCTATTTGTTTGACAGCTGTCTAAGAGAATATTATTGGTCAAAAATGCAGAGCTAAATACTCCCTCAAATTTGCTTCATCATTTGCAATAAAATATAATTGGAAACGTTTCCATACCACATCCTTTATCAGGTTATTTAAATATCAAAATAACCCAATCAAGGTTTGTGTACCGGAACATTGATAATAATCTCTGCCAGTTATGAAGTAATGAAGTGTGCGGGAGTCTTTTGTTGTGCTTTTCTTTTTTCTTTTACTTTCAATAACTGTAAAGTAACTACACGTTTTCCAATAGATTATCAACATAATGCAACACAAGATAAAAAGCATTATAAAATACCACAACATGAACGAATGTACCCATTTTTCATTGAGAGAGAACTGTAGGTTAGTTTGTATTCTTACTAAAACTTATTTTTTTGTTGTTCTTTGTTGCTTTCATTCTTTCATTGCAGATCAAAAGACATCTTGTGTGCAATTTAAGATCTCCTCACTTCATTTTAGGAATCTGGCTCCTAGAGTGGTTAGGTGTTTATCTTAGTCACAGACACAGAAACACACCTGCATGTGGTTCTCTCTGAGGTTGGAGATGACTTTTGCCTGGTCGTCATTGAGGACCTTGAAGAGAATGGACCGTCTCTCGCTGTCCTTCTTAAGCAGGAAAAGACCGCTGTCCCTGTCCTCAGGGGAAGGGGGGGCACTGCGGTCCTCTGAGACAGAACCCTCATCCGGAACACTACAACACACACACACACACACACACTCTCTGATCTCCCTGCAATATAATATTACATGTAAAAAGTGTTTACAAGAGTGTGACAAGCTGTCCGGTTTATTTACAGATACAATCCTCTCCTGGCTACTATGTGTGCCCAGGAAAGTGCAGAAGCAGCATGACTCAGCGCGGCAGGTTGTGCACGTACGTACACACACTGGTATGTCTGTGCACGTGAAGAAGCATGTGTGATGGAGCCTGTGTGCTCAGCTGCCAGCTGTAAAATGACCAGACCTCATTATATCAGTGCTGTAAAAGGCAGCAGAGCACACTGTGGGCACAATAAGGCCACCTGCCACCAAAACATACACACACAGAGATACACACTAATGCACATTCATTCACATCTTATCACATGATCTGTACTGTCTGAGCACGATCTTATATGCAGTAACATAGTTTTAATATTGTAGATATTGTTAAGAGTATATTTTATCTTGAAGATGAGCATAACCGTTAAAGAAGTCTGAGGCCAACAAAATGGAATTTGCCATGGTAGCACATTATAAGAGCCAGTGAAGCTAATTATTTATGCAAATTCCGAAAAGAAGTAGCAGCTGGCACAACAAAGACCCAAGATATTTAACAAACTTAAACCCAACTTTGGTTGTTTGGATCTCTTGTGAAATCTAACTTGACCGAGCCCACATAAATGAACACACAACCATGGTTGCATACAAACAAACGTACAGACCTCAAGTAGTTGGAGATGGGTGGTTTGAGCAGGTTCTCAGAGCCGGAGCTCTTCTTCTTATCAAAGAAACCATCATGCTTTGAGTCACAGTCTGGGCTCACGGAGCCGGGTTCACTGCTGCTGCTCCCGGTGGCCTCGCACTGCAACTGCACCGGCAGGGAAACGTTTTGGATGTAGTCTGCAGAAACATTAATTAAGAAAAGGTTTGGGTAGATTGTAAACATTAAAGGTCCCTATTATGCAAAATCCACTTTTTCACGTCTTTTACACATTTATATGTGTCCGCTCTGTGTAAAGAGATTCTGAAAGTGTCAGGAAAAAAGATTTGTTCTCTTTTTGTCCTGATCCATTTATATAAAATCTTCTCTGAAAATGAGCTGATCAGATTTTGGCCACTTTATGATGTCATAACGAGTTTTGGCTTGTGTAACCATAAGCCAATAAGTAACCAAGGTAACACCCGCCCACCTTATCACCTGAATCTCCTCCTAGAGCACCATTGTGTTCTTTTTAACCAAATATCTCTCAGAGGGGTGTTGGGAGTAAATGGTAAATGGACTTTACTTATATAGAGCTTTATCCAGTCTTTAAGACCCCTCAAAGCGCTTTACATACTACATGTCATTCACCCATTCACACCCATTCATACAGAGCAGTGTACCTTACTCTAGGAACTAACATTCACACACATTCACACACCGTTGGCCATGCCATCGGGAGCAACTCAGGGTTAAGTATCTTGCCCAAGGATACATCGACATGTTGGCTGCACGGGCTGGGATCGAACCCACAACCTTCTGGTTGAAAGACGACCACACTCCCTCGCAGCCCCCCCTTTCCTATAATTCTTACGCTCCCTTTAAATAAATGGAAATAGCCCTTAAAAACATTTTTAAATATAAAATCTGTTACCTTCTTTGCTGCTGTGACTTGTAATTTCATTGCCAGAATAATGTCTTTATGCCATCCATTCTCAGTTCCAGTTTTCATCAAAAGTTGGGCCAGACATGGACTATTTTACCGACCATTAACTGGGACAACTAAATAAGTTATCTATTTATCTGTGGGAACGTACTCTAGAAATTGTTTATCTGATAGACTTAAGTGACTATATATTGTATTCTCAGAGTTTCAACGAAACGACATGCTGTGCTCTGTTGAACAGGTTGTGTGTGTATGTGTGTGCTAACCTAATGGTTTGAAGGCGATCTTACTCTTCTTTCCCTTTGCGTTGTGTCTGACAAAAGAATCTCTGAGGAGGTCCGAGGTGATGGCTCTTTTATTTGGGTCAGGCTCAAAGCAGCGCAAAATAAACGACTTGGCCTCCAATGACAAGGACTCAGGAATCTCTGGGTGGATCTTAAACATGCCAACCTGAAACATAAAACCACAGCCACAGTTACACAAAAGAAGCATGACCTAAAACTTGTAAAGACAACCTCATTATATAAAGGCAAAAACGAGTCAATTCCTGCCTTAAACATGGCCGCCTGTGGTTCTCCCAGCTCATGAAAGGGCGGTTTCCCAGTAGCCATTTCTATTATGGTGCATCCCAGGGACCAGATGTCAGCTGGGGCCCCATACCCTCGAGGGCCCTTATCAATGATTTCTGGAGCCATGTACTGCAGAGTACCTGCAGAAAGAGAGGCAGATGGCAACATGAAACAATTATTTTCCAAAAGATAAGGAGGGCCAGTCAATTAGTCTCAACAAATAGACCCAAAAAATAGTTTTTCAAATGAACGTTTTTGGACACGTGGTAAAAAAAGCTGGATCCAATCTAAAGTTACAAACCCAGATTTAACGTCATTGGAGAAGTTATTGCGGAAAGTATGGATCTTTAAAAAGTTTGCATTTGAAAACAAAACACAGTTATTCATCTGTGCTAGAACTACAGATTTAGATAAAGTAACTTTGTACACAAATTGCTGCATAACAAAACAACTGACCTGTGTTAAGTGAAAATTGGACCTTCAATAGTCTTTTATTTGTCAGATAGTTTATAGATTATTTTATATTCACGGTCAACTGTATATTTTTCTACTCTCTAATGCCGGATTCTCTGCTCAGAGAACCATTTGATGATGATGTAGAGGAAGAGGTTTTAGAATGTGAGGATCACATTTCTGAGAAGTCTGAGTCTGACAGTGACTTTGAAGAAGAGGATGAGATTGAGCATCAGCTAGTTACAAAAAAAAGACGAGCCACAGGACCAGCCGGTCAGCGGGCAAAGAAACAAGTAGCACTTTAATTCATTAATGTGATCAAACAAATGTAAAAGGGCAAATATTAACCATATATGCTGTTTATATTGCTTGTAATTGGGATGAAGTATTTTAACATAAAATAGTTTGATTGTGTTGAATTGAAACCCAAAAAAGCAGCGGGTCCACCAGACCCACGAACACTGGCTGAATAACAAAAATATGAACACCAAACAAGGGTTAACTGAGTTCAGAAAAATGTGTTAATTATATTTATCTATATAACATCCCTGAGTACTTTGTCTGTAATCAGTAATTCTGAGTAGATTTGGCATTTGTGTTCTGCTCTAAATGCTGATGTAAACTGTAAGAGACAGAGAGAGCTATAAAAAGATCAAGTTGGAGGAGAGACAGATAAGGACACACACAAAGAGACACACGCACACACACAGAGAGACACACACATCTGCTAATGAAAGGTAAACACCCTTCTGCCTCTGCTTGATTAGCTAATTTAATTACACACCTCGCTGGCTGCTGGAGAAGGACAGATGGCCAATGAATGTGTCCTAACCGTGTACACGCACATTCGTACACACGTGTGCGTATGAGTGTTTCCATAGAGGCTGATAGTGGCTCTTGACATTTTGAGGGTCATTTGATATTAACACTTATAGACCTGCAACATCAAGGACTCCATTTTCTACAGTCTACACGGAATGACTGTATTATGATGCATGCAGCTTCTTTCTCTTCAAGCCATTAGTGGAGAAGTTTATTATTTTTATTACATTTTGTATCAAAGCTTTATTTGCTGATATACTGTAGAGTACTGTATAGTAGTATTTTTTGGTTCTCTAAAGATTTGTGTAATTTTTTAATAAATGCATGTATTTTGTGCACCAGATTTAGGTGGCGGTAACTCAGCCTGTAGGGGCTTGGCGAGTCCTCACTAACACTAAGAAAATGGATCACATCACTCCAGTTCTGAAGTCATTACACTGGCTTCCTGTCTGTCAAATAATTTATTTCAAAACACTGCTGCTGTTTTATAAAGCATTGAATGGTTTAGGCCCAAAATACATTTCTGATCTACTGCTAGATTATGAACCATCCAGAACTCTCAGGTCTTCAGGGACTGGTCAACTTTCTGTCCCCAGAGTCAGAACTAAACATGGTGAAGCAGCGTTCAGTTATTATGCTCCAAATATCTAGAACAAACTACCAGAAACCTGCAGGTCCGCTGCAACTCTTACTACTTTTAAATCCAGGCTGAAGACTTTTCTTTTTGCCGCTGCTTTTAATTGATATATTCATATCTCACTCGGCACTGACACTTTTATTCATGTACCTGTGATATTCATGTTTTATTATCTTTGCTTTTAAATTAGTGTTTTTAAATGCCATTTTATAATATGTTTCTGCTGCACTATTTCTTAATGCTCTTAACCTGTTAAGCCCTGAGCCTGTTTTTCAGGTCTCAGGCTCGAAAATGACATTCCCAGAACAAATGACCATATCTTCCCTTCTAAAAGGGGTAAATTAATAATCTTTTTTCTCAAAGTAATGATAAACCTGTGAGTTGGATGTAGAAAAGTCAGAATCAATATAGATGTTTTTTATTTTAAAGAAAATTCAGATTGAACATAGTAAAAAACTGTAAATTATAGTGTCCGTCCAAATATTCGTTTTTTACTTATAGTGAAAACTACCCTTGGATGATGGTAAGGTAGACTAAAAGCTTTAGGAATCCAAAGTACAACATAGAATAAGTACCCTGTATCAAGATTGATGCAAAACAAGTGACATTTGACCTTTTTAGAGAGGTTTAGCAAAAAAAACTCCACCTCTGAGGTGATTTGGGTGGAAATGGGGGTTTTACCGTTTCTCTGGAACCCATTGGTCGATGTTGGTGATTGACATCTCTTTCTGACCGTTAGAGCCAATAGAATCGAAGGGAAATTTCCCCACACACACACATGGTAAAAAAAAGGTGGGGGCTTTGCACATGCAGGATTGCATCTGTGTGAACCTATCTCTCGCTCTGACATCTGGAAATGGAAAAGCAGGTTTATTGCTTATGGATTATCAGAAATAATTTCAAAGGGACACAGACACATTGGATTAACCTATGGATTAACTTCAGCAGCGTTTTTATCGTTTTAATGCCATTGAAGACCACTTTTGACCAGACAACGACACAGGTAAGCCATGTTAGCGTTTTTAGCTACCTAGCGCCACATGTTTTGATGTCTGTTTTTGTTTATAAAGTCGCAAGTTCTTATCATAGAGTGATAATGTATGTACCCATCGATTCTGTGTCATCTCATGATCAGATCGATGGGTTGGATGTGCAGAAAGGATAAATAATAAGGTTTTATGAGTGAGTTTCGGTGCAGTAAATCTGTTAGCATTTTTCGCCCGTTGCTAATTCAGAGGCTCAGCGTTAGCATTGTGGAGTTTTTTTGAAAAAAAAAATAAAAATGATCAGTTAGATGAGTTTCTTCCCGTTACATGGATATAAAACATTCATAGTTTATTAAATGTTAAGATGCCTTCAGACACTGTGTCCTGCAAGATGTTGCGGGAGGGCCCCGGTACCAGGGTCTCTCGGGCTTAACAGGTTAATGTCTTTCATTTTTGTAAAGTACTTTGAATTGCCTTGTGTTGCAAGGTGCTATATACTGTAAATAAACTTGCCTTGTTTTACCTTGCCTCAGGAATAATAAAATCTAAGGGGCCAAAAATAAATGTTATTGTATAAGAAGAAGAAGTTACCGGTGAATGTCTCAGTACAGGGGTTGACTCCTGCCAACCGCTTTGATGTACCAAAGTCTGAGATTTTCAGGACACCACTGTAGGTGTTCACCAACACATTATCACCCTACAAACAAACAAAAACAGCCACTGTTTACATTCAAATCACCACCACACACCGACTGTTGTCATACAAAGGTTTCGTTCAACGTGCTTCCTTTTACCTTAATATCTCGGTGGACGATCTGGTTCTCGTGCAGGTATCGGAGACCCTCCAGGATCTGTCTGGTGTAGAAGATTATAGTCGCCTCCTTCAGTGGACCCCATTTAGACCGCAGCAAGGCAGACAGGCTTCCTGGAGAAAGGAAGAGAAGGAGTGTCCAAAACCTATCATGAGACGGGGAGATGACCAAGCAGTTAGAGAGACCGCTCAGTAACCGAGGTCACAAGCATCGGTCTCTGAAATGATAATTTGTCCATTATTAATAAAGAATATCTGCCTACCTTCACAGGATAAAGTTATCACAAAGTTATTCTTTAAAAAAATGTTGGCTCTCTATTTGGGATCACCTATATGTATGGTTACAGTTTTTAAGGATTGATGGTTTCCAAAGCAAAAACAACTAGTTAACACAACTGTGTAATTGTTTACTACCTCTCTCTCGCACAAACATACCTCCAGGCACTTGTTCCATGAAGATCTTGATGTACCCATTTTCAGAAACGGAGCCCAAATACTGAACAATGTTCCTGTGTTTCAGGTATTTGTGAAGGGCAATCTCTTCATGAAGTGGCTGGGAGTACCTAAATTCACAAAGAGAGAATAAAAACCCTAAAAAATAATACTTTTCTCCCTATATGTACCCAGCAAAAGCAAAATATGGAATTTACGTCATAGTTTGGGTAGTAGAAGAGCAGTGTTAATTGTGTAACCCTTGTCTTAGGTTAGCTTTTGGTTTTTAAAAATGTATGTAAAAGGGGCTGAGTAAAAAATCCTATAATTCAGTTGAAAGCTCACTAACCCCCCACCCAAAAACAACAATTATCAGGGTCACTACAGCTTTTCTACACAAACCCACCTACCTGCTGTCTCTCTCAGGGATCTCTTTGATGGCGATTCGAACCTGGTTGCTGACGTCTCTCCCAGCATACACCACTCCATAGGTACCACGCCCCAACACCACCCTGTCCCCTGTCTCATCGGTGTCATATTCATACTGTAACACATGCATTCACACACAATCAGTAATAATAAACTATAAAACTAAACACTAATATATTTATTTAATATAAGCTATATTTATGACCTCCAGTGTATCTCCATCTCCTTCCCCCTCCAGCTCCACAGCATTCCCCGTACCATCTGATATCATCTCTTTCACCATTGAGCAGAACCTGAAACAGCATTTTAACATTTGTATTTCCAATTCATGGCCATCACATGGAAATACAAAATACAGTTGCACATACATACGTTCCAAACACAAACACAGACAAACACCCACACACACACACACACCTACACAGACACATCTAGAGGTGTGTGTCCTCACCGACCGCACTGTTCCTCAGTGGAAAAGTAAATCTGGAAGTCATCTGAGTTATCATGGACGTACAGGAAGCAGCAGCGCTCATCAAACTTACTGATGCTGCAGACAGAAGAGTTAGAGAAGATGAAAGCTTAGAAATGTTTACCTGTAATAGTAATTAGTCCAAATAAACATTGACAAATTGGGTTTTAGCTTAATAGAGTTGTCCAACATGTAAAACAGAACTTTTGAAGTGTATTCACATCCAACTTAACATTCATACCTTATGCCTTTAATTGACATTGCAGTGAAGGTCCACTCATGGATCCCTTTCTGTGATCAAAGGGAATAAGGTTTTAACATTTCACATTGTTCAAATTCGGACATAATTATCACATTTTCAACAAGGACTAACTCATAGTCTTATTTAAAAATTGGATAAGGAGAAAGCCTCCTGTGTGAGGTCCCTTCTTGAGATGAGTAGCCTGGTCTCTGTGCAAATGTAGTGCAAATGTTAACATCATTTTTATTAAATCTGCAAAAGAAAATGCAAATTAATCCAGATTTTCATTCTGTTAAAGTATGCAAATATCACAATGTGGATTTATTTAGATTAAACAGTCGGGAGCCATTAAACAACAAGAAAAAGACCCAGCCAGTAAATGTAATTAAAAGAAAACCAGTCAATACACAGAGGGAAAACATGTAATGAAGCATAGGAAATATGTGTTGTCTCATCAGTAGAAGCTTGACAATCAAGTCACATGTTTCATGTACGTCATGATTTATTGATTCTATTTAAATCTGATATCAATGCACCTGGCATATTTACCTTCTTTTTTTTTTCGATAGACCGACCTTTTTTCCTCATCCAAGCTAATAACTTTGTGATATCGTTGTGTGCTCATATTGAAAATGTGCATGATAACCGGTGTATGTACTTAGCGACAGTTAATTGTCAATGATGTAAAAAGATAAAAACCGAGTGGTTAGGAAGGGTATGTTACCGTTTCAGCGGGAGAAACATGCCAGATAGAGACATTTTTCTCTTCAGCCTCATTGTTGATGGACACATAGGAAGGCTGGTAAACCTTAGTTGGCTCTAGAATCAACACCTGTAAAACAAAGAAGAAGAAAAAAGGTTCCCAGACAGGTTATTACAGTATGAGTCTCTGAATGTCGGATCAAGCTTGTTTGTGCGTTTGCTTATATTGGTTATTACTGGAAACCGCAGTCGTTCGGTGGTGCCCTGCGTTGCCTCCACTATGATGTCCATCCAAAAGTTGAGTCTTTCCCTCTGAGGAGAGTGTTCCACTGTCTGCTTCTTAAACCTCTGGATCAGCTGCAGGTTCTGCACCACAGAGCGCAAATACCTGGAAGAACAAATTACACTAACTGTGATCAATGTCTCCATCCCAATTGGACCATCAACAAAGATACAAGAGTGTTTCATTGCCCTGTAAATATAAGGAAGTAGAAACCATTTATTTCAGAGTCAAAATTGTGGACTTCTTTAATTAGAGATGGGCTTATGGATGGACAGTATAAAGAGAACTAGATACAGCTTTAGAAGTTCATTTTACACCTTTTATGACCTTATGTTGTATAGAAGGGCTATTTAAGTGTCCGTTACTGGGAATTAGATTTACAATTTTGAAACTGATTTTCTCAGTCAATGGGAACGTTTTTGTTTTTTTATCCTTTTCCCATACAGTCTATGGTTAGACCAGCTAGCCGATATAAGCCTACTTTTAGTCCTCCTGTAGTCACCTTGTCACAAATGTTTTAAAATGAAAAATGTAACAATGGCTTGCACAAAATATTTTCAGTAATTACATGTATTTCATTGACAAATAAAGTATATTTCATGACAGGTAGTCTCCAGAAACATTTAGCTATAAACATATAAAAGTAATTTTTTCAGAGATAAAACACTGATAACAAACTTGTAACGGTTTCATAACACTACTGAAAACATTTTTTTTATGAATGTGAATGTTTTTACCAGATAGGCGGCTTGAGTTTGAAGAGCTTCTCTGCGGCCAGAGTAGCCTTAGGGATGTCGTTAGCTAGCATGCCAACAGTGAAGAACTGGCCCACGTCCCAGTAGTTATTCATTTTCTCCAGGGAACCTTTGCGACCCAGCAGACTGTTCAGCCGCACACCTAAAGACATTAGAATTATAAGTGTGAAAATATTATAGTACATAGATCATTTCATCAGACTAGCTATCTTGTTTACATTCAATCTCAATGCTATCTATTTAGTGTACCGTTTAAAGGTGGGGTAGGTAAGTTTGAGAAACCGGCTCGAGATACACTTTTTGTTATATTCCATGGAATGCTCTTAACATCCCGATAGCAATGAATATCTTAAGTGCTTTGACAAAAAATCCATAAAAAAATGTAATCTGTGGAAGCCGTAGTACTGTAAAAAGCACGACCAATCATTTTAGCCGGCCCGGCTAAAATAACTGGATGGCCTACCTGCCCGTCAGCCTTCCATCTGTGCACAAACTTATCTCGTGCCCTCATTGGTCATGTGCGCATTCGTGTGTGTTGGAGGAGGGGCTCTGTAAGGAAGTGGGAGATTTTTTCCGGCTGTGTATTTTCAAATTCTAGCACACTCAAGCTGGTTTCTCCAAAATTACCTACCCCACCTTTAAGTGAACAATTTGTACTTAAAATAGCTTAAAGGTGGGGTAGGTAAGTTTGAGAAACCGGCTCGAGATACACTTTTTGTTATATTCCATGGAATGCTCTTAACATCCCGATAGCAATGAATATCTTAAGTGCTTTGACAAAAAATCCATAAAAAAATGTAATCTGTGGAAGCCGTAGTACTGTAAAAAGCACGACCAATCATTTTAGCCGGCCCGGCTAAAATAACTGGATGGCCTACCTGCCTGTCAGCCTTCCATCTGTGCACAAACTTATCTCGTGCCCTCATTGGTCATGTGCGCGTTCGTGTGTGTTGGAGGAGGGGCTCTGTAAGGAAGTGGCAGATTTTTTCCGGCTGTGTATTTTCAAAGTCTAGCGCACTCGAGCTGGTTTCTCCAAAATTACCTACCCCACCTTTAAGTGAACCCAAAAGACAACTTTATACCATGAAGGACATGTTTGGCACAAATGCAGTTTATGTAGTAAACTTTTTTTACCTATTTTTCTCAGTTCAATGGAGCTCTCAAACTGTTGGCCCGCGACTATGAGTAGAACAGCAAGGTTGATACCAGAGTAGAGCGTTGGCTGCAGCTCAAAACCCTTTCTGTACCTGCACAAATGTAAATTATTAGATGCAAAAAAACTATTCTGATAGCATGTAGAAAGGAATATCAGCATTTATGTTCTCACCACTGTATAGCGTTGTCCCTGTTTATAGTGTCTTTGCAGTCGGAGTCCAGGAATATGTCTTTGTATATCCGTCCACAGAGGCAGAACATGTCCGGTGCTGGATGTTCACACGACTGCAAAACCTGTAGCATCACTTCGAGAGCCTGCTCCCTGTCGCCAGGAGTGTTCCTCCTGCATACATACAGATGTATAGCTTCATTATTAATGTTAATAAATAATACGAAAATAAAATCCACAATTGTGATTTAAAATGTAACCACACCTAATCACATGAATTCCACCTGAGTCAAAAGCTGGAATGGCAGTTTCTGCTACTGCTAGATAACTTTTCCACTGACTTTTTAGTTATCAGGAATAATACATTTAATTATGAAGATCTTAGTTCAATAACATTTATATTTTCAAAAAAATTGACAGCTGGTATAAAAATGTAGCCAACTATGGTGTTTTTTTTTTTATATATATATACTGTACATTTCAGGATAATAACATGTGGTTAAAGTTTAAAGAGCAAAATAAGAAAATAAAAAACAACAACCTCCTTTCTAAAACCTTGCAATGATTGTGTCCCAAGTTTTCAAAAAAGTTATTGACAAGAGAATAAAAAACCTTAATGTCTGTATAATATTTGATGGGGGGAATAACATATTAGTAGTTGTGAAATTGACATTACAGACAAAAAAGAAGAAAGATACATTGTAAAAAAAATCACAGGACCAAAATAAAAAATTATGATATATATTTTTGAAAGGTTTGAGTGTTTGAGTGAGATGAATGCAGCCCCTGTGTACCTGTTTAGGGCGAAGGCATAGTGGAACTGGATCATGGGCTGGGTGGCTAGATCACAAGTCGGCAGCATCTCTAGAGTCTCCACCAGCTTCACCATAGCATCATAGTCCTTAAAGTCGGATAAGGTGAAATTATCACTTGCCCTTCACTTTAATATGATTCATGTATGTGTTGTTTCTCTAACTTGTGTGTATTGTACCTGTATGTCTCTGTAAGAAAAGAGCAAGTTCATCACGATGTCCTGGGTGAGGACTTCAGTGTTGTCGATTCGGAGTTTAATGCGAGAAAGCTCCTTGGCCAGCTCCTCTCCCTGGTATTTCTCTCTGGCCTTCCTGATGTCATTTAGCAGGGTGTCCTTAAATGAAGCACTGCACAGAAAAGAATACACAATAATGAGATGAAAGTAAATTGAGTAATAAATAGGGGTGAGGAGGAGAGATATGCAGCACAAACCAAAACGATTACGAGAATATAGAGGAAGCTCCTGCATCTGCAGATGTGGGAAGTAACTAAGTACATTTACTCAAGTACAGTTCTTAAGTACAGTTTTGAGATACTTGGACTTTACTTGTTTTTAAATGTTGTGCTATTTTGGACTTCTACTCAGATTCATTCAGAGGTATATATGGTACTTTTCAGAGGTGTGGACTCGAGTCACATGACTTGGACTCGATTCAGACTCGAGTCACCAATTTGATGACTTTGGACTCGACTTGACAAAATCACAAAACACTTGCGACTCGACTTGGACTTGAACACCAATGACTCGGGACTTGACTTGGACTTGAGCCCTCTGACTTGAGGTGACTTGATAATTTAATTCAGAGTTCTCCAACACGCCGATCGCGAGATGCCGCTCGAAGAGCAGACTCAGAATCTCCAGCTGCTGCAACTCTTGCTGAGAATCCTTGCAGGCAGGGGCGGGTCTTTATTTAGCTGGGCCACCATGCGGCCAATCATATGTGAGAACACACTAGGAACATACCATTATGTGAAAGAAGGGTGGGGGGCAGACGCTCCAAAGACAGCAGGTGTAGTGGTACAGGCCAGCTACACAGAGCGACAGATTTAAATGCACGTAAATGCGCGTCGGAAAAAGTCAAGAAATTAGCGAAAACCGAAAAAAGAAGCAGCATCTGGCTGCATTTCAATGATATTGGAGAAAGCAAAGCTGAGTGCAGGATTTGTAAAATGAAAATAACCTTCAGAGCAGGGTTTTTTTTTGGTAACCACTCAGGATTTATTGCCAGAGGTGGGAGAAGTTCAGATCTTGTACTTGAGTAAAAGTACCAGAGTGTAGGAATACTCGGTTACAATAAAAAGTCCTGCATTCAAAATGTTACAAGTAAAAGTACAAAAGTATTAGCATCAAAATATAGTTAAAGTACCACCTGCAGAGGGATCTAGATTCAGGTGTTCTTTTCCCCATAAAGACCGCCTCGCTGCACATTATCCCTTGCATAAAGATAGATCGTGGGTCCCTTATAACATGTTGTACACAGTGGAAATAAACATTCTGGTTACCTCAACATCAGGGATCTTATCAATTAAACTCCTTCTGAATCAAACCGTCACGGTAGCCTAACCTTACTGATCCCTCTTACAATAGAAGAAAACACGTTACTTTACCAGCAGAGAGAAAATAGATTATTACAGTATTAATGTGACTAATAAAGAGCAGTTTGATTATTAACTATTATTCTGTTGATCGATGTCATTACATTTGGTGAAAAGCACATAATGACTTGTTTAAGACTCGTTTTGTCAAAGTTTAGGACTTGGACTTGACTTGAACTTGCCCATCCTGACTTGAGACTTGACTTGGACTTGAGCGCAAAGACTTGAGACTTGACTCGGACTTGAGCGCAAAGACTTGAGACTTGACTCGGACTTGCAAAACAATGACTTGGTCCCACCTCTGGTACTTTTACTCCACTACATTTAATGTAAACCTTTAGTTACTTTTGGATAGATTTGGATTAATGATGTGAAATATAATCAACTCTTAAATCAGACTTTAGTTACACCTGGAGTAAATTCACAAGCTACCCTGCAGTATACAAAGTAATTAAAACTAGCATCACCATTACCAGCTTTGATAAACAATTTAATTCAATAATTATAATAAAAACATATAATATATATTATTCTGAAATGGGCCAATCTACAGAATGAGTAATTTTATTTTTGGTACTTGAAGTATATTTGGATGCTAATACTTTTGACTTTGACTTGTGTAACATTTTGAATGCAGGACTTTTACTTGCAACAGATTATTCCTACACTCTGGTACTTCTACTTTAACTAAAGTACAAGATCTGGGTACTTCTCCCACCTCTGTGCATTTGTTACTTTCAGATATTTAGAAAAGCTGATTCTACCCATGTTTTAAATGTAATTTATATGTTTTTTTTTTCTTCAGTCAAAAGACTACATTTAACCAACTTTATCTGAGACCCAAAAAGAAAAAGGTTTCGAATTAACTTTTTTTTTAAGATCACACAAGTCTTTAGGGTGGTATTAACATAATGACTAACACAAACTAAAAATATATATTTTTATTTTTGTTTTATTGTGTGTCCTTTGTAGAGGACATTGGGTGTTAGTTATGCAAAGCATAGTATACAAACAACATTAACATACAAGTACATTTAGACAACATTAGAGCACAACAACTCAATGCAACAAATATTGAGCCCTCATTTGCAGTATTCCATCCTTTTTTGAAATGCAGAGATACATCTGACACTTGAGGCACTTGATGTATGTTTTCCCACTGCATCCGCTGCCATGAACCCTACAGAAACCTAAGTGTTAGTTTTGGCCCATAGTGGACGCCATTTGTGTTGTGTAAAATAGGGGAAATAAAAAGTTAGCAAATCCCCATGTCCTCCTCAGAGGACATTCATAAAAACATTTAGTTTTAGGTCAAATAATTATTACACTGCTCTGAAAAACTCACTACACTAACTCCTAAGATGTTCCCTTACTATAATTAATTAAAATATTGAACTCACAACACTGGTAATTACAACATTACAAACTTACCATTTCTCTTTCTATAAATAGTGCTTGTGTTGATGGACGCCATTTTTTAATATAATGAAATTATCTTTTTCAAAGCCACACCCCCACATATGTCATATGTTTGAAAAGCCCAGGATGTCCTCTGTGGAGTACAATTGGACTTAATGCTGTGGCATGTATAACCTCAAAGTAATGGATCAAACCCAATGTGCTCCACAGAGGACAAAAATGAATGGGTCTCAGGAGGATAATATATGATGGTATGATTCAGCTCAGAAAATATGTATGCAAGGTGAATAATAAGAAACATGGGAAGAAGACAAAGAATGTGCAACAATAGTGAAAAGTTAAAAGAATCAGGGTATTCAAAAGGGTGTCTGCATAACTACAAATACAATTTACATACAAATAAATAATTGCACACCATGTTGTTACTACTGGTTTCCCATTGCAAGAGTTATTAATTAGGTATTCAAAAGTCTTAAATTGCACTCGATGTCCCCTGCAGACCTGTTCCAAATCCATTGTTTCTGTATAATGTTGTCTTATTCATGTTTGATCTGATTTTCACTCATCAAACATCCTGTGCTCTTTGGATGATACAAGAGAGGGTCATGAGTCTGCATGTTAGGGCCATTGAAGCAACTTGACCAAATAACAAAACCTATTATTTTGTATGATTGCTTTTAGGTTTTAAAGGTCTCCTATCATGCAAAATGCACTTTTTGATGTATATAATACATAAATATGTGTCCCCGGTGTGTAAGGGAACTCACACAGTGTCAGAAAACAAAAACCTCTCTCTTTTCCTCCGTACCCACATCTCTAAAAACGGGGGTACAACGGATATGACGTAATATCGGAAATGTGGGCTCGCTTCAAACCCACGGCCCTATCAGAAACGTTGCTATCAGAAACGTTGCTATCGGAAACAATGCGCGACGTGTTTTGGAAGTAATATGGTCTTTGTTTACATTGGCAAGCATCGCTAACAATCAGAGCTAACGCTGTACTTGAGAGAGTATGTGTAAAAAAGCTGGATATAAAAAGGAACTCACCTTGAGGTAAACCCGCAAGAGAAAAAGCATTTGAGCTCCATACTGTTTCAGAAATAATCCCCTTTTTTCAATTTCTTTTTTTAAAGCTACAAACCCAGAATCAGCACTTCTCTAACAGGGCTGAAATAGAGGGGTATGAGGCATGGCTAGAATGGGTGATCTGTTCGGTATTTTGAGCAAAACACTTCATAGACATGTTTTTAATATATTTTATATATCTGAAACCTATAATATATGCCTAAATATTTTATAATAGGAGACCTTTAAATGTGTCTCACCAGGATGTGACGTGGATGTCCTTCAGCAGGCTGGTGAAGCGGTCCGTCAGGGGGACGCAGAGGGGGCTCAGCAGGTTGTCCCAGCTGGGCTGCATGTACTCACTGGCCCTGCGCTGGGCGTCACTCTCACAGCACATGTATTCATGGTTAGGAGTCACTATGTAGGGGATGAAGTAGTAGTTACCACTGGATGCCTGGAAGGAGAAAAGGGAACAATTTTTGTCAAAGAGAAGAGGATTCAGATTTGAGTATCACTAGGCCTAACAAAGTAGCTTTAAATGTAACAGAGATCATTATCGGATAATAATCATGCCAGATGCTAATGCCAGGTGTGAATGGAGTCCTCAAGGGGAAGGGTTTTAGGGATTGGGGATTAAAGAGTGATTAATGAGAAGGATCAGTAGGGGTAGAGGATCAGTGTACTCGTGGGATTTGTTTTGTTAATATCAGCATAGGTTTGCTCAAGTAATTAGGCTCAAAAGGCTGTTAATTATCCAACACAGCAAGAACCAATGCAATGAATACACACTGCAACACCATATCTCTCTTTTATATCAGTCATATTAATTACTTTATTTTTCCAACTATTTTTATGGCCCCTTGGTTTTTACTCCAAATTTTTCTTTTGTGCAGAACAATGTCTTTCTTTTTCTGGTTCAATCGTTTTGGACTGGCTGAGCAACTTCAGTGGTCGCAATAATTTAAAGGGGACCTATCATGCAAAATGCACTTTTGTACGTCTTTTATACATGAATATGTGTCCCCGGTGTTCCAGGGAACTCACCAAGTGTCAGAAAACACAACCCTCTCTATTTTCCTCCATACCCAAATCTCTAAAAAAGGGGCTGCAACTGATCTGATAAAAACTGATCCAGATTTGAACACGTTACTGACGTCAGGACGGTGGCGCTACGGCTATTGGGCCAACTCTCCACCTATCAGGGGAATGTGGGGTTGGGCCACGGCCGGCCATTGCCGCTCGAAAGCGCTGGAGACGCTGTAGTACATATGCCAGGCCTGTAAGTGGCGCTGTAGTCTGACACAAAAGCAGCGAAGAAGACTTCCCGCGCATGGTTGCCATGGTTCCCCTTCTGTTTATTCTCCGCTGTGGCTTTTTTTCTCCCTCCCCGAGGCAAGCGTTTGCTCCTGCTGCTGTAATTCAATGCAATCCCTCCCCGTCGAGGCAAGCACTGCAATTCTCTCCGGTTAGTCCACCAGCAGATGACAAACACCCACCTCTCCGCCTCTTCCAAGGAACGAGGGGACCATGCGGCAGAGTTTCAGTTAGGTTTTCTTTCGCCGGTCAAGATGTCCGTTAAAGTTTCAATCTTCCGGACAAAATTAGAAAAGTGCCGGTCAAAGGTCTTCTTTGTTATTTATTGAGCTTTAAAACAAATGAATAACGACTCTATATAATAATATAATAAAACACGGAGATCTATTTTTCTCCCCCTCTTCTGACTTGATCAGAGCACGCTCCCCTCTCCTGCAGGGGGGCGTGGTCAGCTGCAGCTCACAGAATCTCCCTGCCACTCCCCTGCAAAAACAGGGCTGGAGAACAGCAAATAGAGCGAAATGAGGCATGGCTATAATGCATGATCTGTTTGGTATTTTGAAAACAGAAACGTAGAAATATACCTTATATAGGTATGGCCCTACAATATATCATTTAAATATAGCATGATAGGTCCACTTTAAGATCATTGTAAAATTCCAATTGGGCACAGTTTGTACATATTTATTTTCAACCACTCATGCAGCATTCTTTTCAAACTACCTGTAATTCTTAATCCAAGGGTTGGAGCAACTATGCCTATAATCCCTTAAATTGTTTATTTTTATGAATATCAACTACTTCCTTCCCCCTGAGCTTAGGAACAAAGGGGATAGTCAAACTGTTTGATGGTATTGTTGTTGTGTTATTTGATAATGTTCTGACATTTAAATAATGTTAAAAGCATTGGCAAATAAAACACCAACAAAACACCATCAACTATTTTCTTATTTCGAAAATAGCAGCTGGATCTCAGATCTCAGTGGGTTTTAAAGGGTCTTACAGCTTTTCTGATGAAAGCAGCTGCCTTCTGCGCCCAAAAAAACCATTTAGCATAACTTTGAAGTTAAGGATGCACAGCCCATTCTGAATTCAAGATTTGTGAATTTAACATAGCCCTCTGCAGAACAAAGCACCAGAAAGTATCTCATCTAAGAAGAGATAGTTAGTACCCATCGAGCTAGGAACTCATTTTATCTTTCTTTGGTTTTGTACACACTACTGTTAAGGCATTCAACTTGTTATTCACCCAACAGTCCATGGGGAGGTCAGTGTTTTAAAGCCCCTCGTCCATGTTTGTTATTAATATTAGCCTGTGAGGAAATCTCCCAGCATGCCTTGGTGCAGCATAGTACCTACTTTATTGCACAGTCCAGAGCCTCTGTATTCTGGTGGCAACTGAACCCAGGGAAAGCTTAATGCTGGAGAACGGTTGGCCTTCTTCATTCATAGATAGACACAATACATATGTTACAATCAATGATCAGGATAATTGTGGGTTTTGCGTGTACTGTATGTCTCTGTGTGAGGAATACAGAGAGAAAGAGAGACAGAGAGAGATAGGAGGGTGGAAAATTAAAGCATGTAGATAAGCATTCCTGCATGCAGTTGTGCGTGAGGGTCGAACGGCACAAATATTATTCCACAAATAGCACGAGACAGTGTGTGTACATAAATCACTCTGTTAAACACACACACACACACCAAGAAACTTACTGTGTTTTTTTGTGCGACCATGTCCTGTAAGGAGATAAAACATAGAGCATGTTGTGTGTTCTTGTTAATATACACTGCATAATTACTTTAATAAGCTGTTTGCCACTTGCAGCATTGCTTATAGTCTGCTACACACACACATACATTGACCAATATAAATGCACACACAAAGACATACACCTGCACAATAGCCTGTAAATAACAAAGTGGATGACATTGTTTTAAGGAGATGACAAGAATTGAACTCTAAATACACCGTCAGGAGATGACAAGAATTGAATGTATGTGAGTACCTTCAGTGATTGGGCAGTGTCTGGGTCAGTGTCGTTGTACAGGATGACGTTGTTGGCCATATCGAAGCTCTCCCTCACACCCAGATGATAAAACAAGGAGGGCTGCCGAAACACATCACTCATATCCACCACCGCGATGTCTGGGAGAAGTGAAGAGATGTGAAAGTAGTAAGAAAACAATGAAAACATGACTCAAATCTCTCACATAATTTAATGAGAATACAGAACAATCCCTTTCCCTTCAACCACATGCACTTGGATTCAATTCCCATTCTAAAATCCATCAGATCTTAAGACTAAGCCACCACAAGCTTTAGGAGTGTCTGACTCGTGATCCTATTGGAGGTTAAAGGTTAAAACCACAAAAACACAGAAAGCTTGCTAAATGTTGTTAAAGCTTTCTGATCTTACATGAACATGCAAAGAAAAGTACAACATGTGAAGATGAGCAGGGAGTCTTTGTTGTTTCCTTCCTGTGCTGGAGTAATGCCTCAAGCATTCACAATTCCTGAGATTGCATTAAAAGAAATATTAAACAAGAATGGATTAGTGTGCAGACATGAAGAAAATGCTTTCATCTGGAGGCAATACCTAGAATCTAAAAAGGACTGAATGAAATGTCACCTGTTGACTTTTGCATACTTTGATTTCACTTATCAATTCAAAGAAAAAATAAAGGCTCAAGCAATTCTTGAAACTATTAATTATAACATTGTGAATTTAGTCAAATGTATTTTCATAACAGCATATTGAGACTTATATGATAAGTTATAAAGTGTTGTTCTGGGCAAAATGCTATAGTCTGCATGTTGACATACTTACAAAGTCTATGCTAACATGCTAATGTTCACCATCCTAGTTTAGCGTGTAAACATGCTAAAATGTACTTATTAGATGTGGCTAATGGGCAGGTCATTAGTTTTGCAGCTATTTGGTAATACATTTGAACCTGGTGATAAACATTTGTTTAATGAGGAAATCTAATTTTCAGATGTTAGATTCATATCATGTGTTTACAAAAGTGTCTCTCAGACTCCCTAACATGTCACGGCAGATCAACCTCCTGTCTATCTGCCAAGCCCTACATTGTGCTCTGTGATTTATGACTGGAATGTTGCTAAACTGTCATTATTGCATTAATTACAACTGTGTTTAACCTGCCACGACTAGTAAAATGTTTTGACTATTCCCCTGACCAGGCTTTTATTTGTTCTCACACTTTTTCTGGGCATATTAAACCAAACAACAACTTAAACATATCTTAAGAGAAACAAAATAAATGTTGTTGCTCTTCGTTTACTCTCAATTGATATTGTAATGTCCTAAACATGAGAAGCTTTGATTTGAAGTTGTTGTTGTTGTTGTTGTTGTTGTTGTTGTTATAGCAAATATCATGATATGGTGATGGTGTGAGTTTAATAATCTGACACATGTTGAAATTAAAGTAGGCTATCACTCATTTCTGTCCATGATAGTAATAACAAAACCAACATATTGCACATATTGTCTCTTGTAATTTTCGAACAGGACTTTGAAGATTTTCTGCTCAAAAGAGATACAGGTTGCACATACATAATAATAATATCTGCTGATTCAACAGCCTTGACTATTTTAACATTCAATTGACAGTGCTGGATGTTGAGAACTTCTCTTTTTTGAGACATAAGTATGAAAAGACCTCTCACAAAGAACATATTTTACCCGCCCTCTGAAACCTAGCCTGGCACTTAACTAACCAGCACTGTGGATTTAACCCAACAAAATGACCCAATATACAGTACCCAGTGTTGGGTAGATAAAATAACCCAGCATTTCTTTGTGCATGTGCTCAAAAAAGTGATTAATGTTGGTATTTGTGGATTATCTGTCGCCACTTTTTAATAGCGGGTAGCTGGCTCCTCACATTAACTTTTTCATTTCTCAAAATAACAAACATTAATCCTAGGGGTTAGGGTTAGGGTTATTTAGAGAGTCTGAAAAGAAAAAGCTCGCGACTGATAGACCTAACCCAAAAGTACCTTTATTTTCTTGCATTATAAATTACTCCAGTTGTAGACAACTTCATCAATGGACTTGCAAACAAACAAACCCATTCTGTTTCTTTACCACACACCTGCATCGTAGAAACTATCGAGCACGGATGTTTCTCCAAAGTCCAGCCGGCCGAAGGTGACGGTGGTGAGCAGCGCGCTCTCCGAGTCGCAGGCTCTCTGCAGACACTGAAGAGCTCCAGACTCCGGGCTGCTGGCCATCACCGACTTCAGACCGTCGTTCAGGACGTACACCACCCGCAAGGAACGCTGCTTGGCCGGTGGACAGGGGCTGGACACATCACCCCTCTCCCGCTCCACCGCACTCACCCCGGCGGAGTGCTCTCCTCCCATGTCAGTGACCTGTGCGCTCTGCCCCGTGTCCATACCGAGAACCAAGGAGCTGCTTTATCTCCTTTCCTTCTCCGGTTACTGTCCCTCCCGCTACTTCCTTTATTTTGTCTGTGCCCTCCGTGTCGTCCTCCCTCTTGATCACTTGTTGCTCACCTGTCGAGCGCGTCTGAGTTTGTCCCCCCGCATCTCCGCCTGATTAACTCACATCATGTGCCGATTATCTCGCACCATGAATTCCGCTTCACCCGGACTGGATCCGACTAGATCCGAGAGGAAATGCAGAAAAGGGGGGAGAGACATATGCATACAAAAGTCAGCATACTCCTTTGGCTTTGCAGATCGTATTGACGACTGAGATTGTTTTTACTGCAATCGAAACCGTGCTGTCCAGTGTGAAATGTTATCGCGTCTCGCCGGTTGTCTAAATATAAAACGGAGTGTCCTTCTGGTCCCCTCTACTCGCAGCGAAGTTATTTTCCTGTCCACACTAATCAGCACATGGTTTCTACGTGATTTCAGTTTTTTCTCATCAGTTATTTATCGTTGTTGATCAAGTATTTTTGGAAACCCAATCCATTTTTTGGCCAGGATCGTTTACGCACCGGTGGAACGTGAATACCGGACAGTAGGCCTACTGACGGCCAGAATCCAATATATTACACTCTGGCAGATGGGACACAAGGTCCACGTGTTACTGAAATGGGCTGAGTGCCAGGATCCTTCCTTGGTAACTTCTGGAGTGGTTTAACTGCTTCCTAGAAGAACCATATTGCTACAGTATTATTATCATATTGGTGTACAGAAGGTTTACAGTCACTAATTATATGTTACTTTAATGTTAACCACTCGAATATTTCTCAAGTTATTACAACTGACATCAAAATGCTGTTCCTGGTATTTTGTTAGTAAATGGACTGGACACAAACAGCAGCTTCTACAATAGTGGAAATGCACTAAATGTATTTATTAGATTAGATTAAGGAAGACTAGCTGCCGACCTTAGTCTTATTTATCATGACAATCAAACATGCTACTGGTCTTTATATTTGATAAGACCACATGTTTTACATCTCTTTAAATTGGCAACATAATCAGGTTGTGAACACACACTATCAGCTTTTAAGTTGATGTCGGGAATTGTCAACAACAACAAAAAGGATTGTTGACACATCCAGTGGACAAAAGATTGTTTAACAATCCAGTGGACTAAAGATTGTTTACACATCCAGTGGAAAAAACAAATATTTGGAGTTGTATTTGTTCTGTCTACATGAAAAAGTTAGATCCATATTCACTCTCCTTTAAGCTCTGTTTTAAAATATAAGGCACTTCATCTGATACACGCTCCAGTATGTTCACCTATGTTAACTGTGTCTATATCCTATTGTGTGCTGAGCAAGTAGTGTAGAGTGGGTTTGATGACTGAAAACATCTGCCTTATAGATGCTTAGAGAGTGGTGCATGCACACTACTTTAGCTTAGAGAGTGTGCATGCAAAAGATTTTGGCGGAAACTTCTATTTTACTTCATACTCAGTTTTGGGATATAAACAATGTATTCCTAGGCTCTAGACTTTTCAAATGAATTGACAAAATGAGGATTGTAAACAAGTCATTGTGCAGTGGTTGTGATGATGTAATTACAAAGAGTCCACTCCTGGACCACAAACGCAGCACGATCTTGTGTCCATCCTGTATGACAGGGACACTTTAAAGGCCAGCAAAGAGAAGGACAGGGCTGGATTGGCAGAACAAAAACATGTTTTGTTTAACCATCCACTGTCCCACCGATAAAGCGCCCCACTTCAAATTTGTCCCGGTATGCCCGAATGATCAGTACCCCCCTGACTATGGTCCTTAACATCTCGTTCACACGAATGACCAGGGTTTTACTGGGGTTATCCAATCCGTTTTAGATCCTTCTTTTGTTAATATAACAAATTCATCACTGATGGTTGTTTCCTGTTCATGATATTTTAAAAACTACTTGGGTCACAACCTGGGAGCAATGTATACTAATAACCTTACATGATGGAAATGGGTCTGGCCGTGTAGGGTTTACACATCTGGAACAGTCTAATAGCCAAACTCCTCAATTAAGTTATAGTTTAAAGTCTTTTAATATGTTTTTTAGCAATTGTTTTGTGTTTCTGATTAACTTTACCTATTTTTAATGTCTTACTGCCTCTTTTTCAGTCCTTTTTCTTTTGTTTATTCCTTGCCAATATTCAAATTGTTTGCTTTTTTTACTACAACATGACAACACAAAAATGTTTTTGAATTACAAACCATTACTCATCTTAAAAAATACTCTATAGTGTAATAGTGAAATTGATTATGGCATTTTTTTAAACACATTTTCAGGGATTTTAACTGTTTTCCAGTTACAACCTCATAAGAAATTCTGTCGTGGTTTCAGTGCTTGTTAAAGCCAACACACATATGCTGATCTAACAGTTATTTGTATTTATATATAGGGAGAACTAGTTTCTCAAACAGTGAAGAGAGACAGAATCGAACACAATGCTCCTTCATATATAACTGTATATATCACATTTTCCAGCAGACAAATCCAACATATTGTTTAAAAATGACATATGCTCACATACAGTACATAATAGCATCTTTATTCCACTGAAATATAAAAGTATATATATTTATCACTATCCTGGAGAGAAAGGACCAAGTCAAGAAAACAATTAGAAGACTCAGTTGTAGCAGTTTTTCTCATTGTCATAAGAAACAAAGAAAGAAAGACAGGGAGAAAAGAATAGAAAGAAAGACAGAAAGAGAAAAATAAAGATTTGGAGTCAAAAACAGGAAGGCCACAGTGACGGGTTGCCATAGATTCTGTGCACGCATAAGGAAGGGAGGCAAACAGCCGTACATGCTATCACACATACTGTACATGCACACTCACATGTTCATCTCTAACCTGTGAAGTCCTTTCACTTACTACATTCCTCAAACCCTGTGTTTTACCCTTCATTTGACAAAAGAGCACCAGAAACGTTTTAGATTTTTTTTTTTTCTTCTGCGGAGGGGGTGGGGTTTGAGGTTTCTGGAGTTGTGGTGCAAAAGTGCAAAAGCAAAATAAGGTAATAATATGTTTTGGTCCAGAAGGCAATCTTGACATGATAATTATGATATCATAGGTGTGTTCATGCAGTGAGATGTGCTTTTCTTCTCCCAGCAATAAAGCAAATAAGCACATTTTCCCAAATTGTGAAATTATTCCTTTATATAGCACCTATAGTATCAGTACTTGTTGATTATACTTAATTAGATTGATTGTGGGTAGGAATCAGGATGTGCTTATAATTGTATCTTTCCAGCAGGTGGAGTATTAAACTAGAATTTTAACGATAATCATACTAAGAAGAGAACGGTAAGGGAAATATATCCAAATGCCAGTGCTGTTTATGGCTGATGTTTCAAAAATCCCCCGCCTGCAGTGTACCATAGAAACATCGAGCTCAGTGTCAAACAATGTAACTCTAATTATGTGATCAACACAAATCTTAACGATAATCTTGCCATTAAAGAAATCTTGATCCGGCCAAAACAATCTCACATTACAAAAAAAGTCTATAATCTTTTAGGTCTAAAACTGCAGTCCTTACATGGATGGTAAACAAACACGCACGCACGCACACACACACACACACACCAAATAAACATGTATAGGAGTGAAGGCCGCAGAGTAGACACAGAGCACAGAGGTTGTATGAACCAACCTGGCTACAAAGGTCAAGTTCCAAATGTCCTTCACAATAAAAAACAAAAAGCATCAGCGAGGCTGACAGGGCCCCTTTGTCATAATTCCGTAACCGTGACAACATACAGTCATTCAGTACCTGTGGCACAGCAAGCTTTGACATGATAGCAGTAAACTTAACAAGAGAAGCCTCTTTAAAAGAAGAATTAAGAAGTAAACACAGGATAAGGCGGTGTAGGGGCTAGGTGGCTGATTCCATGGTTTGTATAGTTGCTGATGTTGATCGTGATGACCATTTGGCACAAACTTTGTTTTGCCTGAAGTGTCTCGGCCAACAGTGAGAATGTTTAAAAAATGTTGGCCTCCAATGTGGTGATAAGGTGATGCTTTAATCTTCATTTCGACAGGCTCTTCTTTATGTGATCTACTTCCACCTGTCAAACAAAGACACAAGTATCGTGAATTCATAGATTTTTACAGTTAAAGACATTGAGCCGCTGCTCTTAAAATCCTTTCTGAATGAGAATACAGCAGACTTACCAGAGAATTCATTATTTTCATGTTCAATTCATCTGTTAATCAACTTTAATTAATTAACAAGCAATTTCTCTTAAAAATCTCAGAATTTTCCATGCAGTCCCCAAAGTAACATCCTGTTATTGCTTCTTTTTTCAAGACCAAACAGTCCATGATTATTCAATAATAATACATTACAATACAATAATACATTTCCTGAAAAAGAGTCATACATTTATGACCTAAATGTTAGTATACAAAACTTAAGAGAGAACACATACATCTGTTTTAGGTGTGTGTTCTATCAAGAAACATCACGTTTTCATGAATCTCACCTGTAAACTAACACGAATCTTCTTCTCTTCATCTAGCGCGTTGGTCAATTGCTTCATTTCCTGCCTGAAATACACACAAACATCAGCAGGGTGAGTCTGAAATACTCATGTGTCCTCAGAAAGACACAAAGATAGGTATATGCTGTACATATGGTGTACCTATGCTGGCTCTTGAGCAGTTCTACGGAGGCCCTCAGGTCTCTCAGCTGGTTCCTGAGTTCCTCCAGTGTCGGGGGGGTCAGAGGTGAATGCCGAAGCTCGGGGGAGGGGCTGAGACCCAAGGAGGAAGACGGGGATGTGGGGCGATGGCTGGCGCTTGGTGGGATCAGGACAGAGGGCCTGGTGGGCTGTGGTGCTTTACTGTCAGGTCCCTGAAAGCAAAGGTCAACAGAGATATTATTGATTAATTAATATCAGTGATTAAGAATGTAGGATTTGTCATATTTTACCCATACAATTAAACTAACCCGGTCGTTCTGCTTTAGCTAAATGAATCGGGAGAGATCCCATTAAAGTTAGAAATCCAAATTACAGCAAAGATGATATTTAAAGTTGTAGCAAATCAAATGTTTAAAGCATTCTTAAATAGTTAAACTCCATGTTTTTATTAATATTTTCTGAAATGATTGAAAGAAATGTTTTTGTTTTCCTAACTGAAAAACTAAAACTTTTTTAAACTAACATTGTTGCTATATTTGTGAAATAAATCTTGCCTGCCCATTAAAAATGTTTTATGATGTGTATTTATAATTGTACCTCTCTGATAAGTGTTAAATACAGAAGAGGATAAGGGTCAAATGTGACATCTTTTGACATTCTGTTATTAAAGTCACAATTCAGATATTTAGACGTTGAGACTTTTTCCCCAGAACTCCTAAACAAAAATTCCCTTTTGGGCAGATCTCAAAAGCTTTTTCACACTTGGCCTCTTCCATAGGTGAACTTTTCACCCAACAAAAAAAACATGGGGTAAATTGTTCATGAGGAAAAAAAAGACAGCGGTTCAAGAAAATCTGTGGTTTGGTGCCCTCTGTTGGAGGAAATAAATACTAAAATGTGATCTTACAGAGACAGCTGGGACTCCTTTTCTCAGGAAAACCTCTACAGGTCTGGAGGGGACAGATTCCAGCTCCTCCTTCACTCTTTCCTTCCTCTCCTCCACTGCAGGGGGTTCCAGATCCATACTGGACATGGAAGACTGCAAGAGATGGTGAAGGTCTTATTTATTCAGTGTATTGTCTGAGGCTAAAGATCCTGTTTGACCAATCATAATCTATCATATTGGCTGACTTCATTTCCCATAGAGAAACATTAAATTGTTACATCAATGTTTTGTTTTCTGAGATTGAAACCTGTTGTTGGAACTGTTTCAGGGGTGAAAATGAATCATTTTTGTCATTGTGATGCCCCTGTGGGTTCATCTGGAGAGGGTGTGGCTGTGCTGCATCCAGCCTCCTTGATTGCCTTGATTGCAGTAACTCAGGGCACCTGGGTCTGGTGCCCTGCAGTTATTTAAAGCCTCTGCTCCTCTCTGTCTCCCTCTCTGCTTCTCCCTGCAGGCACCCCGGTTTTGTTGAGTATGCTATGAGTTTCTTCAGTTGCTTCACTTTGTGCACTTCAACACTCTCACACACATACATGTCCATACAATCCTCACCTCATTTACAAATATTCTGTCAGAGATTTCCTAGATGTCATCTTGGGCACTAGGACTTTTAATGACATCAATCAATCATTGCAGCCTATTTGTTTCAATAGCTTGCATTTATAAGCAGCTCCTCCATTGACTATGTGTCTGCGTTGTGACCAGTGATGGTTTATTATGGTAAGTATTAAATGCGTTATTATACGATAAGATACATCTTTATTTCTCACTTGGGAAAGTTCACACAGTATGTATAAGTATTTAACATGAGCTCAACATTAAACAGAAAGGGAAGACCACATTGAAGCATCAATAATTATAAACCAATTATTTAAAGGTTATCGCAAATGGGCCACTGTGTATTTTTCCGTATGCATGTTAATAATTTTGTACTAAGTCAAAGTTTGATTGCAAGAACGTTGGTATAAATAATACTGCTGCTTGCTGCTTTTACCTGAGTAGATGTTCTGAGTACTCTCTGATTGTGACACAATGGTGTATATAAACCACATATTCTACAATTCAGTATTTAATAATAGGCTGACTGAACACACTCACAGCTGAGATGATCTGTGAGCGAGGCCGGCGGTCTGTGACTCGAGGCCGCGATGCTGTCGGATGACTTAGCTTCTCTGTTGAAGCCACCACTACATCCAGGTCCACATCTGAACAAACACACATCAGAAACACAAACACACCTGATAACCAGCAGCTAAAGTTTCACATGATACAAAGAGAGCGCTCTGACAGTTACTGAGGCACCATATCTTGATCTGATTGGGCGATACTCCTGTCAGTCAAACTCACCAGTGTCATGTGACCTGTCAGTGGCAGAATCTCCCTCAGATTTGGGGCTTTCACACCTGAGCAGGTAAACCATACAACAACATTAGGCTGTGTACGCTTAGAAGTCAATGTTTTTGTTTTGTTCTCGTAAGAGCCTTTGTTTGAGTGTGTAAGTGTGTGTGTGTGTACTGACGCTAGATTGGGCGGTCTCTCTGGACGCCGCGGGGGTTGGGAGGAAGAGGAGGTGCTTGTCTTTGGGGGGAGGGGTTTCTTGGGAAGAAGGGATGGGAGGGCGGGTTTGGGGATGTCTCCAAGCTTCACCTCTTCACCTATACATACATACAAAATTATAAAAACACACATGGATGTTCAAAGGGAAAAATAACTTACAAGACATGCTGAACATAAATAGCCAAAATGGCGACTCAAACACTCATACACAGGCATGCGTGATAAGGTGAGGAGAAGGGATGAGTAGAAATGAAGAATGCAGCTGCATCTGACCAAGGAGGACTAAAGCAAACCCAAAGGAGGTTCTTGAAGAAAGATAAAAGAAGTATAATAGACGTCTGGAGTCACGCAAGAAGGCAAAAACAGGAGTTAAAAGAACTAAACAAGAAGCAAAGGAAGGGAAAAAGGGAAAGAAATTGGAAGGGGACGAAGACCACAAAGGATCAGAAAGAGCAGGTCAGGGCAGTGGCAGTTATATTTATGTGTGTTGTTTTTGGTTGATACACCATATTTGATCTTAGTTAGTTAGTTATATTTAAAGAAATGACAGCCAATATGTTTTCGAGAGTGTGCTCCTTTTTAACAATTCATTTTACAGTCATCCCGTTAAAGTCACCTTGGAAGAAAATCTGTAAAACGCCTCATCAATAATAAAACGAGGAGAGTAATCTCTTTTTTAAATATGTTATGTTCCTTGCAAAAATCTAGTCTGCTCTGATTCACTTGTGAAAATGATGGTGCAGCTTTGCAAAAGCCGTTTTCAAGCCGTTGATGGAGATACTCAGATGAGGCGAGTGTTTTCTAATGACCGGGACAGGAAGGAGAGCCAAGTCTGAATGACTTGTAGAATCTCAGATTTTCTGACCACTACAGCCCACACAAACTTGCAAAATCGTTGCTCAGTAGGTACTCAAGATACCCAAATGTGCACAACATTGAAAAAGTGTTTTTGTTTTGTTTTTGTCCCTTTGAAATTAGCTCCCACTCGACCAGCGTCAACACTTAAAACTATGTATGTATTGTGCATTAATATTTACATCTAAATAGGTCCTATATGATCATTTGTTGGTCAAAACTACATTTTTGCTGATAATACTTATCTGCATTTAGGCTGGACTATTGCACTTTAAATTAAGTAAAGAATCTAAACAGTAAGTACTTTTTACAACCCTGCAAAGCAAAGTAAAGTAAAGATATAAGCACTTACTGGGGTTAAATATTGTGTGGTGCCATAAATCAGTTTTGTTTTGTGATAATTCGGTATGATAAAACAACCTGAAGTTTGGGTTTCACACTAATTGGTCCCATTGTTCGGAAAGATCCAAAACCATAGTGCTGAAAGCTTTCATTGCACACAAATAGATGTTGACATGCTGCAAGTTATTTTTCTGCTGCTATTGTTACAACAGAACACTGCTGCAGATTTGTTTTATTTTACTGTACAACTGAAAAGCTTACATTCCAACCCTTAAATTATATCCTTTTTGTAATACTGTGAAGCTAACTTAGTAATTAGTAATATTAAGCATGTTAGTTGGCGATCTGTTCATTGCCAGCTGAACAGATGAGCAGAAAGTGGGAGGCTGAAAGTGAGCAGGGTCTCAGTAGACTGTACCTCGATCCTGGTCCCTCTGCGGTAGATGTTCAGGTCGCTCAGGAGGAACTTTCCTGACCTCTGACTTTCTATCTATAGGTCAGAGTTTTTACAGATTTGTTTGATTTTCTTTTTTCTTTGCAGTCCAACAAATACAAGAGAGGAAAGTGTACTGTGTTACTGTACCTGTGGTGTGTTTGGCTGATGGAGCACTGGGAGGAGGTGGTTTCTTTGGTCTCTGGAAAAACACAGAGAAACATTCCCAAACCTTTAAGAATGTGTCATGTCTCTGAGAACTTCAAGGCTTCGTATCTTACGGTAAACAGACAACTTTTGCATTTGTGCACAAAATGACCTCTTTCTCCGCTTCTAGCAGTTTGACAAAGTTATCTGGGAAAACACCTTGCCGTCCTCCGATCTCCCCCTTCCACCAGCCTGCATCAGCACACTCCTGCACGAAAAGACAGGAAATAGTTTGGTCTGAATTGGATTTGCTAAGCATATTTAATGTGCACCTGGATGCAAATTCTTCTTACCTTTGCAAACAAATCTAGCTAACCAAATGGCGTAAAAATCAAAGGAGACACACCTGCATAAAAAAGTGATTACCCAAATACACAAAAAAAACATTGTGTGAAAAAAAAAAAACACCCCCGCACACATAAACACACGTTTATGGATTTACCTTGGTGACAATGTTGATGATTTCCCCCTCTTTGAGCGACAACTCATCTTCATTTTGTCCTTCATATGGAAACAGCACCTTACATAGCTCCCGCCCTGCAGATACATTTCAAGATAAAGTTAAAAAAAAACGGCTAAAGAACCGGAAACAAGAGATGACACCCATATTTTAAAGTAAACCATTTCAACTTGTGAGAATGACAACCCAGAGAATTTTCCAGCAACAGAAAGTAGGAAAGAGGGAAGAATGGCCCTGAATGAATGAATAAACATAAAATACTTCTTGAGTTGGAATAGGAAGTTTTACCATTTCACTTCCCTCATTCCCACTACTTAAATGAATATTCATGCGCATTCAATCACAAAGTACACCAATATTGTACATACTGTGTACATTATTTGCTTGTGTTTATTTATCTTCATACATAACTATATCTTCTATGTCAACATAATTTAGTTTTAATTGGTATTTTCTTCATTCCTTTAGAGCTAGTTTGACATATTTTGTTCTAATTCTTCCCATTTCTTAGTTTTTTCTCATTTAAATATGATATGATATATACAACCGCACCACATTGTTCGAACTTGTAATGTTCAATAGTAATAGTTTACCCCTGAACCTTCTAATATTTGACAATTTCAGCCACATTTCTGCATCATTAATAAAAAAAAATGTCCCTTATTAAAAATAAAGATCAATCAATCCAATATTTTAATTTGAAAACTAAAATATGTGAATGAATAAAACTAACCATTGGTTTTTTTGTTATTGTAAAATGCAGAAAGGATGAAATACAACCCTTATATGTTATTTTCTGAAAGCATTGCTTTAACACACTGGTTTACAATGTATTTGTGTGCAATAAATACAAAAAGGAAGATCATGAAACTATTTCCTGATAAAACAGCTAAAAATCATTATTTTCTTTCAACTTTGACATTTACTCATTGTTTGGCATCTGGATTTCAGTTTCCTTCATCATAGCTTTTCATAAGCGCACAACAACACAATGCTGTGACAAAGGGAAGCTTTTGCATGAAAGGTAGGAAGTGATCTAATAGCTTAGGTATGCCTTAAAATAAAGGTTACAGTATACAAGTTCCTTTGTTTCCTCACAATGCCTTACTGAAATGCAGCCTATTTGTATTGTAGTTTTTATTACAATTATTAATATATACAAGTAAAGTTCTAACATCACCTTTGGCTTTGCCCTCAGGTTCGGTCTTCATGGTTTCCGAGGCAACACTTGCTGCTTTGCCCTCGTTGGCCTGTGAGGGACAGTTGGAAGAACATCTTTTAGTTTCACACACAAATCTCATCCTTATGCACTTACAACTAGAGCTGCTTTTGCAACCCAATTTAAAAAAAATGTAAACCACTCTGTTTCAGTTTGGGACTTCCTGTGCCTGCCATGATGATTTTCTTAGAGGTCTCTTGGGGATATCGTGACCTGGTTTGATTCAGATTGTGGTTGGTGTGACAGAGCAGAGTTTGCTCACTAGCATTGGTGCAAAACTGACATTTGTCTTTCCTGTATAATCAATAAAGAGTAGTGTTAGCCACGTTAGCCGCTCCTATGTCTCTTTTAGTTGACAATGACAACACAAGATAATGACAAACATCTTAGTTTGGATCATTATTATGCAAACACATGCTAATTGGTTAAACAAAAGTATACCTGGAGGTAGTTTGTTCCTAAATTGAAGTATTGGACAGATTAAACTATTAGGATAAGATAAATGTTTATTGATCTAGAGGGAAATTGTTCGGAAGCAGAGTAGAAAATAGGTGTGCAGCTATAAATATTTTGCTAAACAGATGAAAAATGAAAGGATACATATTTGTCTGAACCAAATTTCATAGTAATTCAAAAGCTGATGACAAATCTCACTTAAAAAAAAACATCAACCTTATAATGGCACTAAAAGAGAAGTCAGTGTATCACCAAAGTTTGTAAGACTCATTTTCTAGGGACCATACATTTCTATAAAAAATGTCATGCAATCAGTCGAATTGTTGTTGAGGTATTTCAATATCAACCAAAGTAGTGGACCAACAGAGCGACCAACATTGCCCCGAAACATAAAAACGATACACTGACAAAAATAAATAATTCATTTGATACATCCACTTTACTCCAGTGAACAGCACTGTCCCAAAGCCTAACTAGCTAATTAGATTGGATTTAGTACAAAAAAAAACAGAGCTGACTTCGTAGTGAAGGGTGTGTGTGTGTGTGTGTGTGTGTGTGTGTGTGTGTGTGTGTGTGTGTGTGTGTGTGTGTGTGTGTGTGTGTGTGTGTGTGTGTGTGTGTGTAGTGCAGGTTGTTAAAGGATCCGTTGTTTTCGGGCTGGAGTGGATCCCTTGACACTGTTTGTGGAACCAGGGTGGCTCTTCCACAGGAAAACACACACACCACACACACACCACACACACACACACACACACACACACACTCACAAGACCCGGTCTGTCCCGAAGACACAGCTGTGCTCTGTTCTGTTCGGCCCGAGAGAAAAAAAAAAACCAGAGCACCTCCCCCGCCAGCTTCTCTCCTCTCGCTACACCCTTCCCCTTCTCCTCCTCTCTAATGAGACCCATGTGGTGCCACAAGCAATGAGACATCATTACAACATGAGACGTTTCCATGTCCGACTATCACATGTTTCATGGTGTCTTATAGGAAGTAGGAACTGACCAATAGAGTTTCTTGATGCCACAGATAGAGATACAGCTATTTTTGGAAAGACCCAGACAGTTAGGCTTTATAAATGATCAACACTTTTAGTTTCGAAGGGAAAAACGGAACAATGTTCTCATTTAGTGCAGTAGAAATCACACATGATCCGACAGCTACTTTATATTCTGTCTGTTTCAGAGGAAGGTATAGAACAAACATTAGCAACATTAACAAAGGTGCTGTGTGGCCTGGTTTATTCAAGTAAGTCAATTTTAACGAGAAAGTACAACTTTTGACATTACATAATGCTGATTTCTTTTAAGTCTCAAGCTTATGGGCATGACTTCTTATGACCACATGTTTTTGCCCACAAATTGTAAGACAACATGACTGTAAAAATCATGGCTAAGGTGGGTCATAGCAAACGGTTGCATATTTACACTTTGTCAGCTGTTTTAGTGCTGAGCAGATGGTATACTTCTGCCTGCACCCATGAAACAATGCTGATAAGAGGGGTGAGGTTAAACGAAAACGGTAAACGGTAAACTCAATGAGTTTGAAACCAAAACAACGAGATAAAAGAAACTAAAGGAGTATAAAAAGGCATTAAGAGCAGGGTGACAATTCTTTGGATTTTCACTCCAAGCAACCTCATTCAACTTTCACAGTCAATTCAAATAACAAATACCAAAGACACAACACATTTCTCCACACATTAAGCTAACCTTTTCTTGGCCAATCAAATACAGGTTACTTGTTCCATTGCTTATATATATTCATAATTGCCCAGTAATTTGAGCCACAGTTCGAACTCTAATTCTAATTAAAGACTGAGAGGATATTTTTAATTCACTATAATGAATACAGCAACCAAAATATATATATATTTGATGGTTATTGTACACTAGAAAATCAAGAAGTTTGTGAGGGGGGGACTGTTACTAAGGGAGATACAGTAACAGCCTGATGAATTACAAATTACAAAATAGCCAGTCCACTGTTATTATCCAAGTAAAACCATGTCAACACCCAGCTCAAAAAATAGCAAAACCTTGAAAAATAAAGAATGTTATTTATTTGTTATAATTATTCAGTTTGAACATTCTTTATATAGCATTGAATAGGCCTGGTGGAGGATCCTGCCTTAGGGAATGACTCCCCCTCCTAAATTTTACACTGTAGACTTTGTTTACAAGACTCAGCTGATCACAAGACTGAGTGACTTTGACTCCTCTCATAGAAAGAAATCGGGAGGAAACACTGAATCAGAATACCTTTATTATAACATCCCTTATGCCAGAATGAGAGCTGAAATATGTTGAAATAATCCAAGTTCTGATTAAAATATACATAATCTACACCCAATTCTCAAGCGGTTGACGTATCAATGCAATTATCAAATGGACATGGCTTGGCATGACTCAGCGTCAGCCTCTGTCCCGGATGGAGGCGTTCACTGTCACCTCCTCCAGAGCGTCATTAGAGAGCACAGAAACTCGTCCCACCATAAACATCACAGCCCCCCACTCAGCAGGACAGGCTGACACACATCCTTCAGAACAAACACACACACTCGTATATATCTGCAGGAACCACAGGTGAACCAATATGGGCTTTTAAAAGTATTAATACAAATATTTTTTTTTCATCTACATAAATAATTCGGTCTATTCTGTCTTTTTTACTTTCTGCATCTGCTTGACATTAAGCAGCATAACAAGTGTTCTGGTTAAGCCTCAGTTTCATTTGGCTGAACATGACATGAGCATTTCAGTTTTTGTGTAGTTGATGAGTTTCGGTTGTCCTTATACATCATGCAGAAAAGCAGGTTTTTAATGAAGGTTTAGAAAAGGATAAATCTGGATTTGTAAAAAAATATGTTATGTCTTCTGATGACCAAAGGGTTTTTAATACTTTTTAATATATGTTCTTATGAAAATAGTCAAATATACACCAAAAGTTATTCTGCTTTCTCGTGTGTTCTGATACAGGTATTTTAGTTTTATAAGCTTTTCAGATATCTGAATTTTAAACATCTTAAAATTGGAGTTAACTGACCTCTAAAAAGGCAGATTTAAAAAAAAGAGATCAAATAAAACAAAGTGTTTCTGCATTGCCAGATTACCTCGGAATACGTTTAGTTGTTTTCTTTGTAATTTTGACCCTTGAATTATATAATCATAAACTTTATGAGAAATATGTCAAGAAGTATTTTGTGTGGTCCCCACCAGCATGTTTTTTGGCAGGGTAACAGACATGCATTTTGACTTTGAACACACACATACATGTTGTAATCCTTATCACCAAATATTAGCTTTCCTGTCTCCTTATCTTCTATTTGTACTGCACCAAATCTAACTCGAGAGCACTGAGGCTAAAGCACAACACTTGAAATACTGCTTAATTTAAGCCAGAAAGAAAAGCAGAGGATGAGAGAAGAACATAAGAGAAAAATAATGAAAATAGAACCAATCAAATACGTGAAGAAGGCAAAAGAGAGGAACAGGAATAGATAAAACTTGACCCTACCGTCCTCTCCTCTGCTTCCAGTCCCCCACAGACAGACAGAGCTTTGCTACATCAGCTCCGGCAGCAGCAGGAGACAGTGTGTGTGAATATGTAAACGTCAGTGAAAAACTGTATAACCTCCCCTCCTGTCTCCCTCTCCCTCTCTCTCTGCCCTGTGAAGCTCTCACTTCTGCTTTGCTTGTCAAATCCCTGCAGGATGTGTGTGTGTGTGTGTGTGTGTGTGTGTGTGTGTGTGTGTGTGTGTGTGTGTGTGTGTGTGTGTGTTTGTGTGTGTGTGTGTGTGTGTGTGTGTGTGTGTGTGTGTGTGTGTGTGTGTGTGTGTGTGTGTGTGTGTGTGTGTGTGTGTGTGTGCAGTGTGTGGGGGTGTATGTATGTGGGTTAGAGTGTGATTGTGCACGTGTGTGTCAACATAAAACCGCTTCCTGTGCCGTTAAACTGAAAGCAAGGAAGGGGAGGAGCCAGGGCTTGGACTTCCTTCCTTCAATGCTAACAATACAATGATCACAGTATCAAAACATGTATGAAGTAAGTGTGTGTGTGTGTGTGTGTGTGTGTGTGTGTGTGTGTGTGTGTGTGTGTGTGTGTGTGTGTGTGTGTGTGTGTGTGTGTGTGTGTGTGTGTGTGTGTGTGTGTGTGTGTGTGTGTGTGTGAGTATTTGTCTCACCTTGTCCACCTCTGAGTCCACATCCATAGAGCGTGGTCTGAGCTTGACAGGTTGATCTTTGAAGATGTCGCCAAAGCCAAATCCACGGACCTACGGGTGACACAAGGAGATGAAATGAAAGCTAACGCAGTATGAAAAAGGAACACTTCACCAAAAATCTGTGGTTTCAGTTTCAAACAATGACCCCTGGTGGCCCTGAACATTTGTGCTGTCGCCTGCTTTGTGGGTGGCTTATATTCACAACAGTTTTAGTTGATTTAAATGGGATCAAAACATCCAAAATAGTTGTCGTAGCCAAAAACAGTTCCATCAATTGGAGAGAAGTGCATTATAACAGGTTGGAAGTGGCTATGTATGGACCTTTACATATTCCTACTTTTCACTAGAATTAGCTTGGATTCAAAGTTCTATCCGCTTTGAATTCAACCTGACCACATCTGCTGTTCGCCACTGTTCAGGCCTACATGTTTAAAGTGTTTGACACATAAAACATCGATTTTTATTATTTCTTCAAAACTAAATTATCCTCTGATAAAAGAGCATTACAAATAATCGAGAAACGTGGCAATTATAGCGGTAAGAACATATGACATTATTAAAGTTGGGTGGTATTCTCTCATACCAGTAAGTGCCTTTGTTGTTTTTTTTAGTCATGTGCTGCAATCTTCCTGTTTTGTCTCATCAAAAAGCCTTAAACTCCAGGGGCTTCATTCATAAAATTGTCCATAGGATTCATGTGTAAAGGTTGAGTATGGTTGAAAGAAAGATACTCTGATTTATTAAACAGTTTGCACACATGTTCTACGCTGGTTTTCCTTTATAAATCACAATCAACTCAATATGTGGTTCACCCTTTGTGTGTCCTTAAAAAAAGGACACAGGTGTGTAAAACGCACTGGATGACGCAGATAACGTCCTTTCACTTCCCTTTTTATAAATAACAGTAAACTAATTGTATTCAACCCTGACCCTTCAAGCAAAGTATCACGTCTTGGCGCACAGCATAATAATGATTACTTTATTTGTATCGAGTGTTCAACAACACAGTTTCAATGTGCTTAACAATGAAAGGTTCTGAAAAGTGAAACATATGAGGAAGTATTATTTATTCATTATCAACTTTATTTATTTAACTACAGTAAACTTGATAAAACAACACACTGCGCAATGTAATACATTGCTCCATAATACATTGCTCCATAATACATTGCTCCATTAATCACTAACATAGCAGCCATAAAATAAAGATGGCAATGGCCAAATGCCAAACTAGAGGATTCAAAACGATAACCGACAAACCAAATGACTTTGTCTACTTCTCATATAGTCTATTGTAATAAAAGAAAATGGCTAGATTTCCAACTAAATCGCTTCCTGTGAGGTTCACACTGTACGATACAGTGAATACATTTTTAGCAGACCTAAACAAACTTTGATGTTGATGATGGTCATGACTAGTTTGAATAATTCTAATGTTTTGTTGTTTTCAAAAAATGTAGTGCAGAGAAATAAAGAAGAGGACAGACTCAGATTTCTCCATATATAACAGGGGTGTCAAACTCAATTTCATCGCGGGCCACATTAGCATTATGGTTGCACTCAAAGGGCCGGTGGTAACTATATAAATATACATATATAAATATATAATATATATAAAATAATGTATTATATGACATTATTGCCTCTGAATTGGATTATTATCGGATAGGGTAATAACTTAGTGATTAACTACGTCAGAAGTCCAGGGCAAATAATTGCAAGTCTCTTCAGTGCGCATGTCACAAAACGAGATGCATTGTGGGACATGTAGTTTATGGGCAACCTGCTTCTGTAAAGTGGCATGTAACCGTATAATAAACGTATTATATTCTTTGCAAGCTCTTGCGGGCCACATCAAATGAAGTCGCGGGCCGGATTTGGCCCCTGGGCCTTGAGTTTGACACCCCTGATATATAAGTAATAAACATCATCATTTGTTAATCATCATACATTTTAAATTACCTTCTTAGGCTGGATTTCTCCTGACCCTGTTTCTGACCGACTGTCCCCTCCATCACTTTCACTGCCTGGGCTGTCCTTACCTACACACACACACACACACACCACACACACACACACACACACACACACACACACACACACACACACACACACACACACACACACACACACACACACACACCACACACACACACACACACACACACACACACACACACACACACACACACACACACACACACACACACACACACACACACACACACACACACACACACACACACACACACACACACACACACACACAACATTAATTTGCTGCAGTGCTGCTGCAAATGTAATATTAGTTGAATTATTTTCTTATTTTTTGTATTTACTGGTGCGGGAGCTGCACAGCTCCTCCTGTGAGGTTTCTACAGATTGAGTTTCAGAATCCGTCGGGATCACTTTGGTGAAATTTGAGGGAAACATTCCGGACTTCCCATTTAGAAATCCCTCCCACCAGCCTTCCTCTACCTAAACACACACGACACAAAACAGAACACAAGCAAAGATTTAAACAAAAGACAGAGCTTTAAACAGATATATGCGTACTGACTTTCTAAATAGTATGTGTTCAGGTTTAAGGTTAAGCTTTAAGGTGGCAGTTGAGCAAACTAACAGCACAATACATTTATCATAGCAGACATTTTGACTTTTCGTAGCAGGAAAAGCAAAGGTGGAACTAATTGTGGTAACAATGGCTCCATTACATCCCAGTGAACAATCACAGTGAGCAAGCATGCACAATACCAGGAACTTGAGCTGAATCAGATGTTATTACTAACACCTTTGCCTTCAATGACATGTCAAAATGTCTGCTGTGAAAACGGCTTGTCAGGCTGACCAGGAAGTCATGAGAAAGGTCATTTCGGTAGAGCCTTACATTTTTTAATTAATGATGGCCACACATCCAGTTTATTTGACTTGTGTGCATCCTTTGAGGATGTCGATATCCTTACAAGGCTTGATTACTGTGTTGGTGCCTACACACGTCTTGCTAAAAGTCAATCAGACAGCTATTGGAGCCCTTACTAAGGCGGATCACATCTCTCCAGTTCTCTAATCTTTGCAATGGCTTTCTGTTCCTCACATATTTGAATTTAATACATTACATAAAATAAAAAATACATTTCTGATGTGTTGCTACATAATGACCTCAGGTGCCTGTGACTGGTGTTTTCTGTCCCCAGACATAAAACAACATATGAAGAAGCAGTATTCATTTTCTAAACACAACATATCTGGAACAAACTCCCAGAAAACACAACTTAAATAAAATGTAGAACTATTCATATATCGCACTTTAAATCTTAAATCTGTTTATGTGTCTTTTTGTTTTTCTTCAACATTTATCTTAAATGTATAAAGAGCATTAGATCTATTAGCAGAAATAGAAATATAATATGATGTTCCTCTACCTCTTTGTACGGCCATGTATTTAAAGAGGCAGAGAAAGGAAAAAACTAAACTTCTAGAGAGGGCCTTACCACGTTGGATAGGGAGGGGTTAGCAAAGTGGTATAATTGGTTGCAATCTGCAGCCTCACTGCTAGATGCCACTAAATCCTGCAGAATGAACCGTTAGAGGCTAACCGGCTGATTTCAAAATGAATAACTCCATTATGACTCCAGTGAAATGTGATGAGTCTTACCTCTGCTATGATCTCAATGATGTCTCCTATTTTCAACCCTAGCTCGTCTTCATGCTGAGGCACGTAGCTGAACGACGCTTTACACCTCCGCTTACGGATTTGCTCTACTGCAAACACACACACACACACACACACACACACACACACACACACACACACACACACACACACACACACACACACACACACACACGCACACGCACACGCACACACACGCACACGCACACGCACACGCACACGCACACACACACCACACACAACAAGTGTACATATAAACATATTTAAGCCTTACATGCATCATGATTGGCTCCCGCACTTACCCATAATCCATGACTTACAGTGAGTGAGCAGGTGTTTACTGACTTATTAAAATCTCTCCTGGCTGAAGACAGACAGGTGACCTTTGACCATTGAATTAGGAGACAGAATTACTAACTGTCTCCAACACCAAACTCTCCCCACTTGCCTTGCAGTTGTTTGTCTAACACTCATTAGCCTGCTCATTACTCTTCACTCATTCCTCCAGCTGGGCGATAAAAAGCCCTGCGATTCCTCTTTTGTCCACATAGTGTCACTGCTACTAAAGTGAGAGTGCATTTGGTGGTGGAGGAAGTATTAAGATCCTTTACTAAACAAACAGTATTACAAGAGTCAAAACTCGCCATTACAAGTCAAACTCCTGTGTTGAAAAGTATGCATGTATTCAATATAGATGTACTTAAAGTATTAATAGTGGTACTCATGCAGAGAATACACAATGCACCTGTTGTAGTCTATATTATACAATCACATTATTATAATTCATGCATTATCTACAATAAGAATTTTAATTTGGAAGGTGTTAAAGGTGGATCAATTGTTTTTTCTAAATATATATTTTGTGTTTGCAGCTGGTGATTACTTTCACTATGGATTAAGAACTTATTTTCACTATTATTGGATTGATTGTTTGGTTTGTAAACATAAAGAAATAGCAAAAGTTCACAGAGCCCAGAATAACTTTATAAATTGTAGGTGGCATGAAAAGCAACTCAAATGTGAACTTAAGTACAGCACTTGAGAAAGGTGTGTGCACGAAGAATGCTTGACCCAAATCCTTCCTTACACTAATAGGATCTATGTTTCAGATTAACATGTATGAGTGTGTGTGACAGAATGTGTGTGAGTACCTCTCCTGCCCGGTCGTACACTGGGATCCGACACAGGGCTGGACCTCCCATTGGACAGTTCTGATCTGATCATGCTGGTCTGTCCTCCGTCCCTCTTCCCATCTTTCTTGATCTCCTATAATAAGAGAGGAACAGGAGATGAGGAGTGAGTTTAAAGGAAAAAAAACTGTGCTCCGGTGAAAAAAAATTCAGATGTTAAAATAAAGATATCTCAAAGTCTAAATAGCAACATTAATATACAAACATATAAGAGCTTGACAAAAAGCACAGCTACTATGAAAAGGGTGATAACATTCAATCACAAATATGAAAAAAAAGTAATTGTAATGATCAACTACATCTAAGTAAATCTAATGCACCACATAGGGAGTTCAATCTAACTTAAATACAACAAACTCTGCAAATTAGTCAAAAATGTTTACTTTATTTAAGAATATAATATCTTTCAATGTGGTATTCAACTTGAAAATAATAAATAAACAAAAAAAGATGTTGCTCTTTACAGGGCAATCTGCTTGTTTAAACTCTTAATTCAGATGAATGTTGACAATGTCAATCATGAAATACATTGACATTGTCTGAAAACATTAACGTGACGATAATATGTAATTGATTTAGTGATTATCTGAAAACAAAATAACAAAATTGAAAAAATGGATCACAAAATTATTTTGAAAAAGAACACAGTGGAACAACATAGACATTTAAATGAAGAAAAGTATTACATCTTGTAACTGACTTGAAATGCAATGGCCTATTAGGTTGCATTATTGCCAAAGAAAGGGAGGGACAATGTTTATTTGTAAAAATGTGATTCTGCTTGTAATATTAGACCACTAATATTAGGTATAAATTAATCCCACATTAAAAAAAAATGTACTTAAACATGTGACTCCCAAAGGAATAAAATGATGGTGTTAAAATGTACCATCACATGTAAACAACAAATGTGGAAATGGACAAAAATTATTTAGTTTTTGAAAAAAGATGTCCAATAAATAATTTGTGCATACACCTAAGATTGTCAAAGCGAATCTCTGTTTATGAGTGTCCCTGTACTGAGCTCCAGTATTACATGTCAGTAACCCAGGTGACCCTCAATGTTTACCTTCAGACTACCGGCCAGATCTCGTAAAGCTTGTCCAAATACAAACACACAAACAGAGCACCACCCTCTCCCTCACTGCTGAAACCTTCCCTTCTGTCCACATGACTTTCACTCACATCACAAGATAGCATGCGAAACTGATCAAGAGAACTGAAGAGAGACAGGCAAACAAATGTGCCGAGTGACAGAAGAATCAACAAGGAGGCAGATGGGGAGACAACAAACAGGGAGACTCTCACACGGAGAGGGAAACCAAGAAAATAGACATGACGGTTCACATCTCTCCACCACATTCATCATGACACTGTTTCATACGCCCTGGCCTTGTGGCAAACGCAGCTCACTGAAGCATAATGGTATACTGACTCACATAATCTAACCCCTCACCCTCACTCTGTATCTGAATGACCTGGTATGGCGTGAAAGCCTTAATGAGCCTCCGAGATCCAAAAATATCGACAAGGGAAGACATTTCCTAGACAACAGGAGAAGCTTATCTTAGGTTAAGAGCCATTTTAAGGCTTCAAATGTGGAGAATTGACATAACAGTGAAGTAAAATAGATGTTTGTGTTGGAAAGTAAACACATTTTTCACTTGGCATAGAAAGGATTCTCGATAGCGGAGAGGGCGTGTGCATCCTCTTCTAACCGGAATGAATGAATTATAAGCCAAAGATATAAATGTTCCTCTACAACCACAACATGTGAGCACTTAAAAGATTACTGTATTCACATGACTTCTTGCATTTCTCCTCCATATTAACATACCTAATACATTTAAAAATAGCTTTTTCTTTTTTTGGCTGCTTTCTGCTTGCAGTAAAAAAATTCCATGACTTTGCTTTTGGTAGTTTGTTAAGTAGGCTAATGTAGTGATAATGTGGAGTTGGAAAGAAAAGCAAACATTTAATTGTTGGCAGTTTGAGTGCAGATGGACTTGCTCAGACTCTACATGCCCTTATGTACTGCAAACAAGTGATACACATTTGTATTAAGAAACTTTCTTGCACAGACAACACTTTTAACTTAGAGACAAGCCAACCTACACAAAAATGCATAGCAGCCATTGTTTAGCCTATACTGTAGATTCCCTTGTGGTGCAACAGAGGCGGTGTTTAGTTGTTTATGCCTTGTGTAAAGCAGTAAAACATGAATTCTAAAATCCATCTGTTATCTATTGAGTCTGATTGTTTTAAATAATTAAAATGTTTGAGTGTAATGCAAAAATAAAGAAAGAAAACCAGGGACAAAGCTAACTGTTAATGTTCCTGGATGCCTTTGTTACTACTTGGACCGCATTCATTCTCTACTACAATTCCTCCTGAGGGGACCCAGTCAAAGGAAACCCAGCTGAAAAGAGGAGAGGAAGACAACGTGATTCATCATATCTGCACAGGAAACACCTGCATAATGTCCACTGCAGGGTTGGTAGTGTTTGTCTGTGTAATGTGTAAAAGTATGTTGTTTACACTGCACTGCTTTAATGCTAAACTCCGCTTTGTGCATCCTCTCTAACTAGACCTCTCACCTTTGTCTTCCAGTCAGAGATAAAGCAAAACAATGCAGTGTAGCAGCTAATCCACTGCCCTACAAAATAATATATAACTTCGAGACAAACAGAGAGAGCTTTGAATGTAGAAATCATTCTGAAATGCAGAGGAAATATTGCGCAAATTCTTATTTCCCCTCTCATAAACCTTATCCTTGTTGCGCAACTCCACCACTGGTCACTCTGGCAGAGTAAGAAAAGCTTTACACAAGCTGTTATAAAGATTAGTTTTGATACCATAAATGCACTTGACAGATTTGAGATGATGTGCTGCGTGGTTTTTGACATTTCCCAATTAGGCAATTTGTTTGCGATAGAAATCAACGACAAGATAAAAATGTTTCTAACTGCTTTAGGGTTTGACAATGTATCTGCACACTGATTAATGCACCTTGCGTTAGTTAGCATTAGTAGCATGCAGCATCACCATGTGTTATAAAGTATACCACCCATGCTTAGCTTACATAATTAGCATTTTGTTTACCTGAGCTCACCATCAGAAAATAGCTCTTAAGCTGTTCCAAATATGCAAATAAAAACACCTTTTAAACTGTCTTTGAGTAAAAAAACTATAGTCAATGACCTTCAATTTAATAATCTTATTAGCTGGCTGGTAGCCATGATGGCACCAGAGGGGGTTTGCTTGCATACCATCACTTCCTGTCCCCTTCTAAACCTGTCTGTCCACATCCCCCACTTCCTAAAAACACACATGCATACACACACACATACACATTCATCAGCATTGCAAAGCTTAATGTCACTGATTCCCATAACTGCAGTCTTGTGACAGACCAGTCTGGTATTACTGCATTACTCACAGCCTTTCTCTGTCTCTCACACACACACACACACACACACACACACACACACACACACACACACACACACACACACACACACACACACACACACACACACACACACACACACACACACACACACACACACACACACACACCCCCACACACACACACACACACACACACACACACGCACACACACACACAAATCCACATCCACACACACACACACACACACACAAATCCACATCCACTCCATCACCAGTGGGACTTCACAGGCCCATTGTCCGGCTCCCTAACAATGAATGAGCTGTGATATTCAGTCAGCTGTAATAAAGCCTGGCTGCATGGCGTACCACCTGACAATAGACTGACTTCTACAGTCTAAATGTAACTGTACTCTCTGCTCTTGGCTTTTGACACATTTCTACTTCCCCCTATGGTACAGTAAACTTCCCTGTTTTTCATCACCACAAACACACAGTTTTATTACACCATAAACCGTATCATTATACTCTCACACTTACATGTTACATTGTTGCTTACATAATGACTTACATTACAAATCGATCCATAAAATATGGCTTATAAATAACCTAGTCATTTTACATTTACATTTCTGCCGCTTTGGGGGTTTACAGAAAGCACCAAGGTTTTTTAATCTGATGTATTTTTTTTTCTCATCTTGTAACTGTAGCTGTAAGGGTATAGCAAAGTCCGAGTTAAAGCAAACCATATTCATCTGACAAGTCAGCATGGTATACGAATGGCACGCAAAGTAAATTAGGAGGAAAGAAGAAAAAGGAAGTCGGCTGATGGGCTGAATTATCAAGTCTACCGGACATGTTTAGCTTCTAATTTTATTTTCTCGCTAGAAAAGGGATGGCATTCTACAGTATCTCCTGGAATCTCTCAAATTGTGTACCAGATGCCAACAACATTTTATCAGAAATTCATGTTGGATAAAACAGCTTCTGAAAGCCGTTCTCCACAGACCTTTCGGAAAGGCTGGGAGTACTTTTGAAAGTTTCCTTTCACTCATCCATGCTTTATCTCTTCTCGTCTCGATTACTGTAACTCCCTATACTCTGGATAAGGCCAAACATCAATATCTCGTCAACTTGTGTAAAATGCCACAGCAAGACTTTTAACAAATACCAGAAGAGTAGACCACATCACCCCTGTGTTAATCTCTCTTCACTGGCTACCTGTCTGTTTTAGAATTGATTTTAAGATTTTACTGATTACTTTTAAAGCTCTTAACGGTTTGGCTCCAGGTTACCTCACTAACTTGTTGTGCCCTTACGAGTGCCCCAAAACTCACCTTTTTATTAAAGCTTTTAACTAATGATAACACCACTCTGTTTTACTCGACATCCATGTATTATTTGTTTTACTTTCTTTTTTTTGTATTACTACTGCTATTTTTGAAATTCTATATATTTTATTGGGGGGATTTAGGGAATTTTTGACCGCATGCTTTGTTAGTGCCTGAACGCCCTGTTCTTAATCCATGTAAAGCACTTTGTGACGTTGTTTTGAAAAGTGCTGTATAAATAAAGTTATTATTAGTATTATTTGCATGCATTTGATGCAGTGCTCTTAACCTTGATCTAAAGTCCACAAAATAAACTTCAGCATAACATTATCTCTTTGAATGATCAAAATGCAACCTCTATTTCTCTATTACTCTCCCACTTAAACCCCACTCTATTAAACTCTCCCATGTTAAAACATGTTGAACTCTCACCTTTGAAACATCCCACGCTGCAGTGACACACTAGAAACTGCAAGTTTACTCTGCTGTTTTTATGGGGGGCCTATTGTGGGCTTATGGAGTGTGTAGGAGACTAAAAGAATCAGTAGAGAAAACGAGGTGGTGGTGGTATTTTATGAACTCACCCTGACAAAGTTATCCGGGAACAGGCCCCTGCGTCCACCCAGCTCCCCCTCCCACCAGCCTCCATCGTCCCGCCGTATGTTTACGATGATCTCGCCCACCGTCAGGCTCAACTCATCGTCCTGCTGAGCCTCATAGTCGAACTCCACTACGGCCTCCACTGGGCGACATAGAGAATGAGGAACAGAAAATTAGTCGGTTAACAACAATTTGTTTTACTTTTACTCTCTGGGACCGTGGTTTTCAATGAAGTGATGCAAAACTGAAAGTGAAAGAGAAATACACTCACAGCTGAACATACACAGCCATTTAAAACAATTGATTGTCTGTTTTAAATGCAATTTACTTTGGCCTGCAACACAGAGATAAAGTAAACTGTTATTTCTCTTTGGTTTTCTCATTTCCCATCCTTTCAAATGCACACAAACAAATAAAGGCCAGAACAATTACTGATTACATTCTCTTACATGTAACTAACAATAGTAAAGGAAAACATTTAAAAACTAACCCTGATTAGACTCTCTTACATCCAACTAGCAATAGTAAAGGAATACATTTTTAAACTAACGGTCCCAACCCTGTAATGTAATAAATTACCCTAGTAAACAACCCTTGTAATATTGTATTTTGTTGCTGTTAATCAATACACTACTTACAAATCATAATGTGTTATTGTCACAAACTGTAGATGAGTGGAACCATGTGAAAGTGAAAATAAGAATAAAAAATACACTAATAAAAGTAGCAATATAAATAAACATCTTGACATCTCTGGTGCAAACTCTAGTGTTCTATTGATGCATACAGTGCTAATGATAGACGATACAAAAGTATAACTGTATTGTTTATGCAGCAAAAGGCTGAATATGAGGTTGATAAACACAGAAGTGTACTCTCTCATGTAAATATTTACAAGAAAAGAGAAGTATAATGCCCTTTGAGCAGCTGGAACTTGAGTGCTGACTCATTAACAGTAGCTTAATACATCTTTTTTTTAAAGGAAAAATAGATGTGCTTAAATAATTGAAAGAGTGAAAGCTGCTTCTTTGCTGTGAAAATGTAAATGTTGCTGAATTTATAAAGACAAAACATAGAAATAAAACCGGAATACGCCTTACTGAAATGTTGTCAAATACACTTTGGTGAATAAAACAAGGATTATTTGTAAAGAAAATCTATTAAAATGATCTCACACACACCAACTCATATATTCACAGACACAAAAACACCTTGTGGCCGCACGAGCAGCTGCTAATACTTGTAGAAATTTACTGAATGTGTCATGATATCGCATATAGCTTTCTTAACTCTAACCCCTTTACACTGGACACACAGACACACAGACACACACACACACACACACACACACACACACACACACACACACACACACACACACCACACACACACACACACACACACACACACACACACACACACACACACACACACACACACACACACACACACGCACACACACACACACTTGCAAACACTCATATTGGCTGCAGAGGCCTGATCCTTGTCTAAACGGTGTAGGCAGCTAAAGGGGTGGCTGTGGAGGGGGGTTTGAGGCGGGGGAGTTTTAGGGGGTGGGGTAACCATGGGAACTACAGTATGAAAGGGGTAGCTATGACTCAGACACAGTGGTTTCCTTCCAAAAATTATCTCTCACTTCTTCATATATTGTATGACGTGCACAAAGAGCAACATGTTCATACACACCAATATACAAACAGACAAAATGTGTTTTCATTTCATTTCAAACCTTTATTTAACCAGGTAGGTCCCATTGAGATCATTGATCTCTTTTTCAAGGGAGACCTGCAGCAAGTAGGTAACACATGAAACATAAAACAACATAAAACAATAAAGGACATCCTACATCATATTTACAGGGCTACATTTACATACCTATCGACATTTACAAGTACCAACAGTATCAAGTGTCATTGCACCTATCCGAGCTTTAAAAACATGCAGTGGAACCAAATTGCTCAGTTTCAATTATTTTTGAAGACTGTTCCAAGCAAGAGGAGCTGCGCACATAAAAGCTTTCGTACCTAAGTCAGTCCTTGCACTTGACACATGTAACAAGACCACATCATGTGATCTCAGGCAATAGCTACCTGTAACTCTCTGTGTGATCAGAGTGCAGATATAAGATGGGAGTTTACCCAACATGGCATATGAACATGTATATGACTGAGCCTCCATACAGTAAGTGAAGGCAAACCTGCCCTTGCATACAGGGTACAGTGATGAGTAAGTGCTTTACAATTAGTAACAAATCTCAGTGCACTGTGATAGGCGGCATCTAACTTGTTCAGGTAATGGGCAGGTGCATTCATATAGATCAGATCACCATAGTCCAGCACAGGTAAAAAGGTCACAGAGCCTTTTCCTGGCCTCAAGTGAGAAACAGGACTTGTTTCTGAAAAAGAAACCTAGCCTAACCCTCAGCTTTTTAAGCAGATTATTGACCTGAAGTTTAAAAGAGAGACAATCATCAAGCCAGATACCAAGGTATTTATAACAGGCAACCACTTCAAGTATTTTTTCTTGCACAGTAACAATATCCAAAGCGGTCTCTGGTGTCTTTTTGGCTTTTGAAAATAGCATTACCTTAGTTTTATCAACATTTAAAAGAAGCTTTAGTTCAGAGAGCTGAGTCTGAATAATATTACAGTAAAAACAGCCTGCAATTTAACAACAGCCTCTTTAATGGAGGGACCTACACAATACATCACGGTATCGTCCGCATAAAAATGTAAAGTTGCTCCATCCACATTTTGACCTAAACTGTTGATATAGATGGAGAATAATAGTGGACCTAAAACACCATTTGTAATGTTTAACCACTCAGAAGTGAGCCCATCAAATTGAACACATTGGGACCTTTCAGAGAGGTAGTTCACAAACCACCCCACTGCATGGCTGGATATGCCAATACTGATGTAAACACCATCACAACCAAAAATACTTTACATATTTGAGAAGGAACAGGACTTTCACAAGACATCAATATTAAGAAGACAAAGCAGGTGACTGTAGTTCAAGTTGGCCTGGTGCTCAGATGGGGAGGATATGATTCTGGCGTGAGATAACTAAGAGAGATTAGCTGCAGATGACACAGTGACGTGGCACAAATACCATTTTGCTCACAGTTCTGATGTGTCTAGGACACATGTGTCAAACTCAAGGCCCGGGGGCCAAATCAGGCCCTTGGTGGATTTAATTTCGGCCTGCAGGATAATTTTGAATTACTATTAGATCTGGCCCGCCGCTATATTGCACGCACACCTTCACTCAATCCTGAGGATTTCCTCAGCTCAGAGCCTGACCCCAAACATTGATGAACTTGCACCCAAGATGAGATGCCAAGTATCTGGCTTAATGTGCATCACAGAGCAGCAAACTGAGTTTCAATGAATGTTTCCTTCTGCACTTTTTTTCTTGTGACAACAGGGCATGTTTGGTTTTTTCTTTGAGGGGAATTGTTTTTTTTAAGCTGTTGTTGGCCTGTGAAAAAATGTAATCATAAGAAATGACTCCGGAAAATCTGCAGATAGAGCCATAAGAAATGAGTACCGATTTTTTTATTTTGGCCCACTGTGTATTTGAGTTTGACACCCCTGGTCTAGGGGAAGTACCACATATCATGAGAGTGGAAGTACAAGGTTCACCAGTTAGGAGAAGTATCTCGGTGAATTGATAGCTTGTGGCAGTTGTCTTGCAAATGACATTACAGTGCATCTGAGTGGCAGAACAGAACCACACGCTGCAGTCCACCCACCCATCCACGTCACTCAACAACACATACACCACTGAAGAAGACGACAGCTCGTGGCTCTCCACAGAACTTACACCACTGAGTGCAAAGACGGGTGCAAGTTAAAGTGACACAACGTAAACGCCAAATAGGCTCTGGAGCGGAGCACAGTCTGGTGTGAAGCTGTGCCAAGAGGGCAAACCCAGCCTTCAAATATATATATACTGGATATGATTTTACAAAGGAAGCAGCCTTCATTTATTCGTACATATGATGTACAACACAACATGATGGAATAAATACAAACACACAAGAACATTTGAAAATAATGAAATGCTCTTCAAAGCATTATGAATGTAGAGCAAACACGTTCTTAAAAAACGTCAGTAGGGGTGCATACGTTTGTTTTTGTTTTTTAAGTACACGTAAGTCTGGTGAATTATTTTGTTTTCTTACACAATTATTCCCATGAAAAGACCTGTCCTTCTATCCAAAGCCTGATATAAATTGTACCTCAATTCTAGTCCAAAAACTATTTAAAAAAACACACTGTTTAACTGGGTGTCCTGTTTCTTCATTATCTCAACACACACTCTGCTTTATTTTGACTCAATCCCATAGGTCCTATCCTGCTGCTGTAAATACCAAGGGGCAACCTCCAGGTTGAAAAAGCCAAGTCAATGTGACTAATAGTATGATGGTATTTTAGAAAACAACCCTACTTCTCACTTAATCTATAACTGTAGTAAGCAAAAAGGTTTATGGTCTGAATCACTAGTGTTTATGTCTCCTTCGATACAGATATGGACATACAAATGGACACAAAACATAAAAAATGATGGACCCATTGAGATAAATTGGATTGTAAAGCAAGGTTGGTTTGGACCAAGCAAACTTAAAAAATTAAAATCCCAAATATTATCACGTAAACGTTAATAGCACTTTGCTAACCAGGCCAGCACTAGCTAGTAACTAGCCGCTTAGTAAGCTAATTATATCGGGTCTTGCTACGCCAAAATGCCAAAATGCAAAAGTCTAGGTCATATAACCTTTGTACAAAGCCAATGTGCTACGCTACGTCACGGTGACTACGTACACTTCTTTTATACAGTCAGTGCTTATACCCGTTTTAATCATTTAAAGCTGAAGTCAGCCTCCAACAAGTGTGATAATCTTGTTTAAGTAAAGTTTGAAAACAAAATGGGAAGTTTTAAAAGGGGAAACAGAATAGACAGAAGTCAGAAGCTATCATGGGCCTCTTTAAGCTCAATGTTGGAAATCACCCGTTTTTTTCAGTAGCAATGGTTCAGTCTCATTAGCAACACAGTGTGTTTTAGGCAATACAAGGCTCTCACTCTACAGTACCTCTGCTGCTCAACAAAACATTACTGATAGAGCTTTAACAGAAAGTATCCAATTATTATCTTAAAAGCCAGATAAACATTTTAGGTTTTTTTTATTTTGAAACTGGGTAAACATTAGCATTGTCTTAGCATACAATTATCAGGCAGAAACAAACAAAACATATAATGAATGGTGTTGCCTGATGGCTGCATAATGTAGTTGCTAAAATGATAAGAAATGCATTAGTAAATAACATTAGTTTAGATCAAGCATGTGAAAGAAATTAACGGTCTAACAGGACTGGACTGTAACATAACCTTAATGTTCTAGCTCTAATTGGTGTGATAAAAACACGCTTTATATTCGCTCCCTAACCAACTTTCCCACCATCACATCCAATTGTACCCTCACAGCTAGCTAGCTTAGATTTGTCAATATGGTCTGTTTCAACAATCAGATTCAACGAGGTCTGTGTCTACTTATACTTATATAATTAAATTACTAATTTCAAACATACTTGCTAAACTTAACCATCCTTTCATTTTAAATAGCTGCATTGAGTTAGCAGTGTATTGGTCCTGAAACTTGAGATCAAAACTGCAACTGAAATGTCAAAGGACTTGTGTCATGGTTGTGTCTTCCGTTTGCCATGTTCTGATAGACAGGAGGCCTTGAGAACACAAGAGACAGATTATCTGAAGCCTGCAGACAAAACAAAACTCCCACTCAAGTGGTCAAGTAAGAAACACACTGCCATATAGGAACCATGTTGACCTGTAGTGTCCTCTGAACAGCTGCAGTCAGTTTAGATAAGACTGAACTACACATACAAACACACTGAACTCTGCAATTCCATGCTGCAGTTTGCTGGTTTACTGCAGACCTGTGTTGTATGCTTCAGTACTGTCGCTGATGATTTCAAGAGCAGCTGCGTGTTTTCAGTCTGTAAAACATTCACGCTGGACATAAGCCCACTGGGAGTCAAAGCCAGATCAGATCACAGACTTCAGCAAATTCCCCCACATTTAAAGTCAAATTCCAACTGTTCTCTGCCCAACTCATCATTCTGTTGCATTGCAGGACATTGTTTTGTGACACAGTCTTTGAACTCCCTTAACATGTTTCAAATGTTTCAAATTTCCAGCATTCCTCTTTCCAGGAAAGTTTTGGACAACCCCCAGATACAAACTCTGAGTATTCAGCTTTATATTTTCAATGTAGCTGGAGAGAGACAGTGCCAGTGACAGCAAACCAACATTTTTTAAGCACGGGTCAGAGAAGTCAGATCTTTTGAAAACATGTATTTGTGACTGTTAAGACTACCTATGATAGCAAAAGGTTGCCTCTTTAATGTGTCTATATTTGAGTAACTGCAAAATTATTCCTTAGACTTAAATTCTGAGTTTTAGACAAAGCTGACACTGTTTTCTCCTTTACAATCTGCAGTAACAGCACAATTACAGAAAGAAATCCACTTTAAGTACGTTTTCTTTTACTTTATCTGAAAAAAACTATTAAAATGGGCCCAGGATTGCTAAATGCATTACAACAATATGTACAGTATAGTTTTTCCTTTTCAGGCAGGTTCAAGTCAAGAAACCCAAAGTTGATATTTTTTGATTGATACAACAATACATTTTTACTGTTTTTTAATAAGGTATTCCTTTATAATTAGCAAGTGATTTTTCAATTATACAATATCTGTGTATTAAAATGATAGTGTTTGTGTTGTCTTGGACAGCATTGTTTGTCTGCAATGATTTTAATAATCTGTCCGCCTAATGTTTGGAAATTGGAAAAGCATAAAAAGTCGTAATGATGTACAACCTTTATGAACTACGTAATGAACATATGATTGAATTTACACAAAAACGACAATGTCACCAAAAACGTTATACATTGATGGCAGAGCTGAATTGGTTACAAATGATGAATAAACAGTAGTGGAAAATGTGGCAATTTATGGCGGGATTACCTTCACTTATTGAGACACATCCCAACCACCATCACCACCATACTTCCCATATGCATCCTATAACCTCTTTATATTCGTAAAAGGTATAAACTCCCTGTGTTCAACATGGAACATACTGTATAAAACTACGTTTAGATACAGTGTTGAGCTAATATGCCGGACCTATTTAAAGGCCCTTGTAATTCCATCTAAGCTAATAGTTGAATTAGTGGTGCATATTAGAGACAATTTTGCAATTAATTAAACTACACACCACACAGTGAATCTGGCCTAGGCCCATGGGGAAATTTCCTGATTTTCCAAATTGGTCATCCAGCCTTGACGGTTGTGTGTGTTCCCCCTGAGGCCAGCTGTGAATTTCTTGTTTACATGCAGCAGAGCTCATACAATCTTATAATAACACACTGTCAAGATATCCATAGGAATGTCTAATACAGTAGATCTACAGATTAGCCTACCAAGTAAGATGAACATAAAAAGGAAGTAACACCTTCATCCCTGCATGGCATCTGTGGCTAATTAGTAAATGTGTATATACACTTAATTAAGTTATTAATCGCCCACTATATCTGCAATCAATTAATTCCCATGCGTTTCAGGTGTGGAAGACCACAGTGCCGTGGGAATTGATGGCGATGATGAGAGGAATGTCACAGACAGGCCTGTTTCCTCCACAGGGACAGGGGGCTGGAGAGAGTCAAACACTGTGCAACACAATGGGCAGACAGCTAGTGAATGTAAACGTGTCAACATCTGCAACTCATCACTGTGACCCGCTGCCTTGCTCAAAACGCATCCGCACGCCCGCGCATTCACACCCACGCGCAGCTTTCTAATCATGAATAAAGCATCGGATACGCGGAGAAACGCCAAAGCCGCGCGGACACTAACGAACAGCTCGGCCATGTATGAAGCTACGTCAGAGGAGTGGAGGTGAGGTGAGTTGGGGTGGAGAGGAGAGGAGAGGGGGGAAGAAGGAAGGAAAGAGGTTGAACCCAGCGCGCATCTGGACCGGGCGTTTATTCCTGCCCATCCAGATGCGCAGAGGCGCTGGAGGCTATTTTTGGGGCATTCTCTCAATTGGAAGCAGAAAACTGCGTTGCAACTCACCCATTTATGTGTCCCGGTGTGCTGGTAGTGCTCCTGCAGGCTGGTTGGAAACGGGGAAGGTGGTCGTGTGAGGTTTGAGCCGGACCGAGACCCAGCCTCCTGCTCGTGCTATAGATCCGCTACAGCCGCGCTGAAACGGGAGGAGCGTCTGATGAAACCATGTTCCTTCCCCTTTTCTCTCCGGTGACACGGCAGAGGAGGCAGAGCGAGGACCTAGAAAACGGAAAAGCGCTGAGAACAAATCTCTCTTCTCTCACTTATCTCTCGCGTTCTCTCTCCGTCTCCTATCTCTCTCTCTCTCTCGCGCTCTACTCTCTCTATCTCTCCTCTCTCTCTCTATCTCTCTCTCTCTCTCTCTCTCTCTCTCTCTCTCTCTCTCTCTCTCTCTCTCTCTCTCTCTCTCTCTCTCTCTCTGGTTGCCTTCAGGTGCACTGCGTAAATGTCGGCCTCGGAAATTAGGTCTTGTAATGCGTCCAAGTTAATAGTGAACTATCACATTTATGTTTTTATTTTTTTAAATGCAAAACATAGGATACAAAATTAACAGGAGTTAAACGTATACTTAAGAGTACACTTTATGTTACAAGGCCTCTAATTAATGTTAATTTAATTGAAAAATGTTTTCTGTTGAAATGAGTAAAAGAAACAAGTTCATTCAGTGTCTTTAACTTTTTTTCAAGCTTATGTGTGTTTCACTAACAATGTTATTATTTCCAACAGCCTTTGAAGGTAGCATGCTTTCAAGATCAAATACTCGCACCTGTCGATAGCTAAGATCTCGCGATAACACATTCTTGAAGTTATATCTCACTTGACGACCTCAAATTGGCAATGAAGTGTTTATTTAGTTTAAAACTAATGGTTCCAGATGCACATTGTTAACATTTTAGTCACATTATCAAACAGCAATAGAGACACACACACACACACACACACACACACACACACACAACACACAACACACAACACACAACACACACACACACAACACACACACACACACACACACACACACACACACACACACACACACACACACACACACACACACACACACACACACACACACACACACACACACACACACACACACACACACACACAATCTCCATCACACACACATACTCACTCCAAACACTGAGCAGTGTTGTTTTACACTCTGGATTTAACATGCATGCGAGAATGATTATGCTGGCAGCTGCAAAAAGAGGGAGATGAAATGATGCAGTGATTGTAGAGAAAGAAAGAGATGAGAAATGTAGATAATTTTCACAATCAGTTGTCACTTGGGTAGAATACAGTCACAGAACAAGCTGCTGTACAGACAACAAAGGAGATCTGATATAATAAAATATAGCAGAGAGCAGAAAAAATTCATTTGAGCAGAGTTAGTCTATATTCCTGTATGCATCTCAGGTATGTGTGACGCAAAAGAGATAATACATGCCTAACCTTGAATGTGTAGAGGACTGTGACAGTAGCCTACACTGCAAGTTTATATGATGTATCAAGTATCTAAAGTATTCCTTGTTTTGTGTAAGTAAAAAAGGGTGTGCAAAAGCCCTGAAGTTAAACAGGTTTAGTATCAGCATCTCACATAAAAGTGTTGTGTCCATGGAATTAACACAAAGCAACAAATTGAACTGAATCAAAAATATTTTTCTTAAAGATATAGTTGAGTTCAGTCAATTAAGTAAGAGTTTTTGGCTAAAATCATCTACAATGATAGGGTTGTTTTAACGAGAAACAAATGGTGGAGTATACCACTTTGCACAGCTGCAAAACCTGAAATATGTGAAATTGTTTATATTCCACTATTTTACGTTTCCTACGCAGTTTATCACAAGATGTTTTAGGGCTACTGCTCAATCCCGCATTTGTATGTGCTGTCACTATGGCTATATGGTTACCAAACTTTATTGTATTTATGTGTGGAAAGCTTTACAAGATTTTTCTCTTCTCTTGCAGTAAGTTGCTTTTTTCCTGAAGAATGTTAAATCTGCAATTTTGTCCAGATGTCTGCAATGCTGTCCTCTCTGTCCTTCCCATCAAACTCCTCAATAAACTCAAAATCATCACCATAGGTGCACCATGTGTGCTCGGGCTTTTAGCTGCACTGCTCCAAGACTCTGGAATTCCCTCCCCAAACACATCCAACAGTCTGACACAATCACCGCATTCAAGCCCCTCCTCAAAACCCACCTGTTCAGATGACTCACTGTTGTGCTACCTGTCCCGTCTCCCTACATATTACTGCCCTTTTGTAACGTTTTTAGGAATATTTTATGAATTGTAAGATGGGTGCTTTGAAAGGTGCCTCTAAATAAAATGCATCATTATTTTTATGTGTGGTTATAACAATATCCTGCGGCTGAGAAAAAAGGTATTTGTTTTTCTTCAAAGTGCAATCTTGAAACACCGCTTTTCGTGCTGAGGTTGCATCATGCTCCACTGAGTGAAGCTGCCACTTTAACATAGAAATGCAAAATGCCCACAATTGTATTATCAACATGTTGATGCAACAACATGGAGGTGAATGATGACAAACTCCACGAAGAAGACTTACTCCCCATAGATATGTGCATTCCTAATTTTGTCTAAATGAGAAAATGACCCTACTCAATTTATTAACATTGAGTTAATATCTTAATTGCTACTTTCCCATCTTGTAAACATTTGTATTTACTTAAAGGCGGAGGTACATTGGTTGACAGGTTGACAACGTTCTGGACATCTAACTTTGGTGTTGTCCTTGTTTTGGTCTTTGAACTTTAATCCTTGAATGTTTGATTCCTAAACGCATTTGGTTGTATTTAGCTCTACCTTATGTGTCTCCACTCACACACACTAAAAAACAGTGTTGACCAAGATGCCAAACTAAAGACTTTAGTCAAATGGGTAATGTCATGTTGACTACATCCTTGTAAGGTCTATGGTTGTTTTGTTAATGATTTTTGCACCATTTGGTTGCAGTGATAATAAAACAGCCTGTCACCCATTGTCACAGGTTTGAACAGCCAACAAATCCATTTACCAGCCAGGCTCTTAAAGGGAAACACTCAGAAGCAAAATCTCACTGTCAATTCTAAATGAAATGCTTCAAATGTGAAATATGTTATGCTATCAAGGGTAATGAACATTCTCCTATTTAGCCTAGATACCATCTGTGCTGCTGTATTTGCAGCTTGTTTCCTCATCCAGAGATGGAGGTTGATGTATCCAGAGATGAGAGGTAAATGCAACACAAAGTACTAAGGTGACACCATCTGGGACAGTGTTGCTATTGCACAATGTTCTACAGTAAGTCCCAATACATTTTTGCCACTTACTGTACATGTGGAAACACACAACCACGCTCACAGTGAGAAGTCTCAGCAGTGCTGACACTATTTCTAACACCTATAATCCTCCCTTGGAAATAGTAGTTGTTTGATAGCATCTGAAACATTACATTTAAGTTATTTTGGGGATTGTATGAAAATGATTAGACACTGCCCCTGACTTCAAATGATTGCAACACCCTCTCAATAAATTCTCCAAAAAACAATGACATCAAGCTTTATCAGAACAATACTTTTACACTACTTGATACATTTAACTTTACTCTAGGTCAGATAAAGTGAGGAACAAAAAGAAGGTGACTGTGGGACTGTGAAGAAATGGCATGCTATTTAAGATAATGTTAAATCCATACTAACTATAAACATTGTTGATTTCTGCCGTGTTGACAATGATTCCTATTTATCAATTTGACCGAGACCAGTAAAGGCGACTGACAATGGATTAAATAAAGAGAGATTATTCATAAAATATGTAAAAGAATGTGGTTTTTACAAGGAAAAATTGTATAGAAGTCAAATGACAACAATCTTTATTTGAGAATCTCCTCTGTCAATCAAAAATATATATAATGCATTATAACAAAGGGCCATGAAAATATGACTTGATATGAAAAAAGTGGTCTTGTAGCTTAACTTGCCCCATCTAAGGAGTAAATTGATCTGCGTCAAGGGGCAAATTGAGCCGTAAATTGATGAATTTACTTTTTCAAGTTTAAACCTGAGTTGAAAACACTGTAACAGTTTGTCTCTCTCTGCACATTATACATTGCATCTTTATGATGAATGACACAAACAAAAAGCATTAATTGATGTTATTATTCAGTTATTATTTTTCAACTTAACTTTATACTTTTTCAGTAGATCTTGCAAGAAAAGTATACAACTAAAAAGAAACCTGAGGCATGTTCTCAATAAGTATACACAACAATCCTGTTCATACTTTCCAGTATTCAGAGTGACTGACTCAAACGCCTATTTCCCACAGTTGAAGTGTTACATCAAAGTTCTGCTCTGAACTGACTGGTAAGAAATCATCTATAATGACAGTGAGATTGTGTTACTCTAAATGTCTTCCTCTGCATTCAGATGTATCATTTCCCATCTGGGGATTTAGATAAAGAGAATAATTGTTCCTTAGCAGAATGTATTCACCTATAATCATTGTTCAAACAACTTTAAACAGAACCACTTGAGCTTCATACCTATTGGCGAAGCTAATGTCAACAGTCTGTTGTCTTGCTTGTTTGTCAAAAAGGAGTGATGTTAACATGTTGGATAGAAAGCCAAAGAGGATTTAACATTGTGTACCAACACTCCACCCACGAAGTAGCTCAGAATAACAGTCAGCAGAGTCAAGGTTAAAACGTTTTGTTAGAGATTGTTAAAATGGAAATTTGTAAAGAAATGGGGTAAAATATCAAATTACACTTTTTTTTTCGTTAGTCATTGAAAATTAAATGAATGAATGTTTAATGTGTGTTTTTATTTTTATCATAAAATTGTCAAGGCCAGTCATAAAAGGAGCAAATGCATGAGCGCAGAGCCTTCACCTGAGCAAAAGTAGGAATCCGACCCACACTATAAAAAAAGAAGTAAATAGTTGCTTTCAAAATATCTATCAATACACAGAGGTGAAATAAGTACTCAGATTATTTACTTAGGTAAAAGTAGCAATACTGCAGTGTAAAAATAATCAGTTACAAGTAAAAGTCCTGCATTCCAAATTGTACTTAAGTAAAAGTATTTGCATTAAAAAAATACTTTGAGTAGCCTACCAAAAGTAAAAGTATGCGTTATGCAAAATGACCTTTAAAGCACTAGACATTTTAAACCTA